ACCACAGTTTATGAGAGGCAGCATCAAATCTTGCTGGAGAGGACCAGGCACCCGTCTGAGAGATGCGAGTAGGATTCATACAGAACGCTTCGTTGGAAGTGAACAGGCCTTCTTAGCTTGGTTTCCCATAAAATAATTCCTTTATCTGAGCAAAGATGCTTAGTGAAATACTCCCTGAATGTCTGCTGTGGGTCAAGTTCTGAGCTACGTAGGTACTTGCTGATGGATGTTCTCTTCAGACAAATTAAGCCTAACTTCTTGTGTACAATTTGAGAACCTATTATCAAGCAAATATCAAAAGCCAGACTAAGCCAATAAATAGAATCTCATCTTCACCCATAACACAGTACCCGTCTCTCCTGGTTAACCAGGCACTGACCTGGGATCCTCATTTCTACTTTCGTGTAACCACAATCTTTGCTTATCTTGAGATTAGAAATTTATTCTTGAACAGTACTTTTTGTTGATTGGTTGGTTGGTTGGTTGGTTTTCCAAGGCAGGGTTTCTCCGTGTAGCTCTGGCTGTCCTGGAACTTTCTGTGTAGACCACGCTTAGCTTTGAACTCAGAGATCCACTGGCCTCTGCCTCCCAAGTGCTGGAACTAAAGGTGTGTGTGCCACCACTGCCTGGCCTGGATCCCTGTCTTAAAAACAACCATAAACTTTTGGCTTCAAGACTGACAGAGTACATTTCTATCATGTAAAGCATACAGGTTGGGGCGGCTTGTTGTGGCAACCCTGGAAAACTAATGTGAGAAGTGAGTTTCTGCAGTCTTCTCCAAGGAGAGCTTATTGCTTCAGAAGGTAGGGTAGGTAGCACAGTGGCTCCAGAGACACCCAATGCTCCAATCCTCTGAACCAGTGGAAACATGATGTCCCATGGCTAAGAGGGAGGTAGTTCATGGAGCTGCCTTTGAGATGGAAGCCATCCTGGGTCATTTCAGTGGGCCCAATGCAGTTACACTTAAAAGTTCGTGTAAGTGGAAGAGGCAGGCAGGAAAGACAACATCAAAGGCCTACAGCCTGGTTGACTCAGCTGACGTTGCAGCTTTGAACATGTTAGAATGAGAGACACATTCTCTGGCTTCCAAGAAGGCACACAGCCCTGCTGTTCCAGAACAACCTAGTTCTGACTCATTGGGACTGGACTCAAAGTCCCGTGAGACTGACTGCAAAGAAGAGAAAGGCAAACCTAGGGTTGTACCAAGTGCAGTTTACTATCAGGGTGGGTAGATGGGGGACGGGAGGAGCTTACAAGTGTGGGCCTACATGGCAGCAGACTAAATCGAAGCTTGCAGCCTGAGTCAAAAATTTGGGGGCAAAAAGAGGAGAATATCTGTGGACGAGAGCAAAAGCAAACTCATTCTTTCTGTAATCTGCCTATTTATATTAAGAGCCAAATATAATGGCATACTATTATAATCCCAGCTTTCAGGAGGATTATGAGTTCATGACTGCAATGAGGTGCTGTCACAAAAAATAGGAGAGAATAAATTGAGGAGTCAGGGAGATCTCTCAAGGCAGAAGCCACTGTAAAGCCCCACGTAATACTCTCAAGATTTTATCTATTTATGATTTGCTGAGAAGAAACAGCTAGGGCTAATTGGTGGACATCATGATAATTATGACTTAAGATGGCAGTGGTTGGGCTGGAGAGATGGCTCAGAGGCTAAGAGCACTGGCTGCTCTTCCAGAGATCCTGAGTTCAATTCCCAGCAACCACATGGTGTCTAACAGCCATTTATAATGAGATCTGATGCCCTTTCCTAGCCTGCAAGCATACATGGGGGCAGAACATTGTATGCATAATAAATAAATCTTTAAAAAATAAGATGGCAGTGGTTGTATCAAGCTGATTCCACACACAACCTATGACACCATGGCCTTAGGTCACTGAGACTAAGATGCCTGGTCTTATGTATGGGTTCTCAACCCTTCAATACAATTCCTTATGTTGTGGTGATCCCCTGTGGTGGTTTGAAAGAAAATGGCTCCCTAAGGGAGTGGCCCTAATGGGTGGTGTGACCTTTTTGGAGGAAGTGTGTCACTGAGGAGGCAGGCTTTGAGGTCTTATATATGCTCAAACCACACCCAGTGAGACGGTTCACTTCCTGTTGCCTGCAAGATGTAGCAGAACTCTCAGCTCCAGTAGCACCAAGTCTGCTTGCCGGCCGCCTTGCCCTACCATGATGATAATGAACTAAACCTCTGAAACTGTAAGCCAGCCACCACAATTAAATGTTTTCCTGTATAAGAGTTGCTGTGGTCATGGTGTCTCTTTACAGCAATAGAAACCCTAAGACACCAAACCCCAACCACAAAACTGCTTCATTGCTACTTCATAACTGTAATTTGTCTGCTGTTAATCAATTGTGACGTAAATATCTGATATGCAGCTCCCAAGGGGCGGGGGTTGAGGCCCACAGGTTGAGAACGGCTGCTCTAGAATAAGGAGATAAGTTTGTGCTGTTTTACGTCAGCAAATATGTAGTGATTTACTTTTAAAAATGGGGGAAGCAAAGGGTTTGTTCTCCTTTTTCCCCCCTGTATAATGCCTAGCTCCTAACGTCTAACTCCGAAGCTACACTTCTCATTTTACTGTCGCTACGCCACCTTTTCCCTGTTCCATGCCCTCACCAGCACCTACCTGCTAGACCTTTATGCTCCCAAGTCTGACAACTATGTGATGATAGCTCACTGTAACTTTGCAGTTCCCTGACCACAGATGATGTTGAGCGGCTTTTCTTCAGTTACTATCCTGAGATAGTTTGTCATCCAAAAGAGGACTCTAGGAGAACGATGCACAGCCAGCACGTGCTGGCTGAATGTCCCTTACTATAAGGCACCTGGTAATAAAACGTTTGCCTGTGTTCCTTCTGGGCAGGGTATTCTGCATAAACTCAGTGGGCCCTCTTATGCTGCCATCTGGCCAGCAAGTTTTAAGTTCAAATATAGGTAACTCCATCAGCCTTTTCTCTCATTGCTGATGTCTTTGGTGCTTTATTTAGAAACCTTGAGGCCATGACTCCCCTTGGCCACTGCCTCTGTGGGGGTTTCACTTTTCAGATAGGAGCTTTTAATCCACCTGGAGCTGATTTTCCAGGACAGGGTCCAGCTTCTCAGCCTGCCCACTGAAAACTACCCAGCCCTGCCGGGCAGCATGAACAATCAGATGTGGCACTGAGTGGTGTCAACCTTCAGCAACCGGTTCGGTTCCCACACTCCTCATCCTTTTCTCTTGGCCATGGCACCATTCTCATTCTGTGACTTTATAATAACTCTTAACATTGGTGGGAACTCCTCCCTTGCACTCCTTCAACGCCATTATCCTTCGTCCCTCTACATATATTTTATAATGCCTTGGGCAAATCTCTGATTTATTTTTCTCAGGTGCATGCACACATGTACACCACCCATGCTGGAAATCGGAAGCAGTTCAGTGAATCTAAATTAACTTATTGACCATAGGAAGTCTCCAGCGGCTGAACCAGAGTCTATGTATTCATTTGTTTGTTTACATATTCATCTTTTTGCAATTTTTTCCATATAGAAAATTCCACAATCACAAAAATAAGGAGAAAGAAGCTGGGGAGATGTTTGCTCCTTTCAGGGCATTTATGGCTCTTGCAGAGAACTGAAGTTTAGTTCCCAGGTGCCAATATTGGACTATTTACAACAACCTGTAACTCTGGTTCCAGGAGATTTGGAGCCTTCTTCTGGCCTTTGCAGGCATCCTCAAGTACACACACGCGCGCACACACACACACACACACACACACACACACACACACACACTTACTCACACATGCACATTAATATAATAAAACAATCTTGGAAAAAATAAAACAAATAGGGGGAAGGGTAATATGAACCCTAGATTCCAATCACATCATATCAGTGATGTATGTCTACTCCTGCTCCCATTGGGGCTGACACACCGTAGACAGAATCAGGCATACTCTCACCTCTCCTGGAAAACCTTAGCATGCACCTCCTGTACTTTTAGCCAACCCACAGAATCATCAACTCCAACAAAACAGCAATTTCTTAATAAAATCCAACACCCATTGCCAATTTTCAGGAATTATCTCAAGAATATCATTCGGGGTTATCTGCCTGAATCAGGAGCCAACACAGTGACCGATTTGTCCCTCAAGGCCTTTGACCTTTCCTCTTACTCTGATGTTTATTTTGTTGGATAAATTGGGTCATTCATTCCATTTTTTAATTTTTAGTACATTTTAAAGATGTTGTGTCTGTGTTTATGTGACACAGGATGTGTGTGGTCAGAGGGTAACCTGTGGGAATCTATTGTCTCCTACCAAGTGGGTGCTGGGATTGAATTTAGATTGTGAGGCTTGGCAGCAAGCCCTTACCTGCTGAGCCCACCTATCATACCAAATCACTCTTTTTTTTTTTTTTTCTTTGTTATTGCTGTTTTCTGAGACAGGGTTTCTCTGTGGCTTTGGAGCCTGTCCTGGAATTAGCTCTTGTAGACCAGGCTGGTCTCAAACTCATAGAGATCCACCTGCCTCTGCCTCCCCAATGCTGGGATTAAAGTGTGCGCCACCAATGCCCAGCCCCAGATCATTCTTAGTAACTGCTTGTGTGAACATGTAACAGGTCTACTCGCCACTTCTGTGTCTCCTTTGACCTTTTAAAATTGTAGTTTTGTCTTGTTGATACCTAAGACCTCTCTACATTCTAGATACAAACTTTTGCCAAGTATCTCTGCTATAAATATTTTTTCCTTATTCTATAGCTTATACATTTTCTTCATATGTTATTAAGAGAAATTATTACTTTTTTGTATTTTTGAGTCTTGTGATGTAGCAACTGCTGGTTACAAACATCTTCCCTTCCCCTGCTTCTTAAATACTGAAACTGTAGGCGTGCATGTCACTGCACCCTTAGTTCTTATAAATGTTAAGGATTTTTAAATCTATAATCTTGCTGATACATGTTTTATATATTTTTTGCAGTTAATTTCTGTCTCCCAGTATGGAAGAACCTACTACCCAGTTTTCCGACGAGGAGCTGGTGGACAACTTCCCAGCCATAGACGATGGTAACAGAGGCCTTTTCCAAAATCAGACAAGTTTCAGCATAGAAGACAGTGTGTTTCTTGTTGGTTGTGAGCCTAGCCTTTAACGGCTGAGCCGCCTCTCCAGCCCCACAGTGTGCTTCTTGATTGCCCTTTATTTCAGGGAAAGCACAGAAAATGCATCTATGAAATTCACTTATTTCTCTAACAGGGAACTTCTGCTCTTGTCTATAGTTGTTGATAAACGAGAAATAACGGCTAAGGATCTGGATGTAACAATCCATATTTTTCTATTTTCCAAACCACCATTAATAAATTGATGCCATTTTAAATTCTAACCCTTTGAATGCGGCCTGTTTTTGTTTTATTTGTTTGTTTTTTGGAGTTTTTTGTTTGTTTGTTTGTTTGTTTTTTCTTTCTGGAAGATCTTTGAATTTCATCTAAAAATTTCCTATGATCCAGACTTTTCTGAGACATCCCCGATTTGGTGTCGCTCCCAGCCTACAAACTTGATCCCTTAGTCTTATTTTCTGGGTCTGTGAGGACCCCGCCCCTACTCCACCCTGCCCCTGATCTTTCTTCCTCTTGGGTTTGTGTGGCCCTCTCACCGAGTCTTCCGTCTTCCACCCTCCTTTTGGTGGTAGACTCTGGCCCTTTATGTTTTCTTTCCAGTAATTTTTACGGAAGAGATGGAGATAAACCGGTAATTTCCGTGGATTTTTGTTTTGTTTTGTTTTTGTTTTTTTGAAAATCTACAGTGATGTTCTCAAGACAATAATTCTAAGAAATAACAATAATATTTGAAAATAGGTGTTGGAAAGGTGTCTGGATAGTGAAGAGTACTTTCTGATGTTGCAGAAGACCCAGGTTCAGGTCTCAGTACCCAGATGGCCACTCACGACTGTCTGTAACTCTAGTTCCCGGGCATCTGGCGCCATCTTCTGGCCTCTGCAGGCACACGCATACATACAAGCAAATGAACATTAAAAAAAAAAAATCAAAATTAACTTTTTACATTTATTTACGTGTGTGTGTGTGCGCGCGCGCGCGCGCTCACGCGTATGGAGGTCAGGAGCCGACTTGCCAGAAGTCTCTCCTTCCACCATGTGGGCTCTGGAGAGCCGATTCAGGTCATCGGGCTCGGCAAGCAGGTGCCTTTACACACTAAGCCATCCAGCTGGCATTCCGTCTACATTTAAAGTCATTAGAGTTTTAGAGAACTTTCATTTGGTGGTTCTTTGTACCCACATTTACCATGTTAAAAAGTATGATTTGAGGACTGGAGAGTTGGCCCAGTGAGAGCACATGCCAGTCTTACAGAGGACCTGGGTTCAAAACCCAGCACTCTTCTAGAGTCTCCTCAAGCACTAGAGTTGCAAGAGTTACACACAGTCATGCATGTAAACAAAACACTCTTGCACACAAAATGATAAAATAAATTTTTAAAAAAGTATAGCTTGGGCCAGGCATGTTAGCACATACTTTTAAACTCAGCACAGAGGCAGAGGCCAGTGGATCTCTGAGTTTGGGGCCAGCTTGGTCTTCATAGCGAGCTCCAGGCAAGCCAGGGCTGCACAGTGAGACCATCTCTCTCCATCTGGAAGGTCAAGGCAGGAGAACTATTGTGAGTTCAATACCAACCTAGTCTACATAGTGAAACCCTGCTCAAATGAAAACAAAACACAAAGTAAGAACTGAGCTAGGCTTGGTGGAAATGTCTTTTAAATCCCAGATGAGGCAGGAGAACAGTAGCAAGCTCAAGACTAGCAACCTAAGTATATGTACCTTGTCTTAAAAAGAAAAACATTAAGTTGAAGCTTTTTTAAAAATCAATAATGAGCCAAGCAGTGGTGGACGCCTTTAATCTCAACACTTGGAAGGGAGAGGCAGGCAGATCTCTGTGAGTTTGAGGGCCAGTCTGTCTCCAGAATGAGTTCCAGGACAGCCAGGGCTACATGCAGAGAAATCCTGTTTTGAAAAACAAAAACAACAACAACAACAGAAAAAAGCAATAAAACAGTGTTGGTATCATCATGAAAACAGTCTGAGGCTGAAAGTTTCTCAGGGATGCCAGAGTTCCCTGGATACATGCACGCATGTATCTTATTTTTCTTTTCTAAAAATATTTTTCTTCTGATAATATTTTTGTTTTGTTTTATATTTTGAGACAGAGCCTCATGTAGCCAAGGATGGCCTCCAACTTCCTAGACCCGACCTGAAATTCCTGCTTCTCCTGCTTTTTTTATTTTCCTGTGCTGGGATTATAGGCATGAGCCACCACACTCTGGCTGCAGTTGGGCTTTTTGTTGTTTTTGTTTTGACTGTTCCCTTGATTTCCAGAAAGAATCCAGCTAGAGGATCCAGAGTTTGAGGTGGAGATTCCTCTGGGATTTGAGGACACCGCTGGCCTGGAATGCGGCTGGTAATTCCTTGAGTTGCAGCCTTCCTTCTTTTGGACCATAGCTCTAGTGGGCTGTGGAGATGCTGGGTGGAGAGCAAGCACTGTGAAGCAGTGCTGAGGGCTGTGGTTTGTGTGCAAAGCAAGTGCTATCTCTTTCTTTCTTTCTTTCTTTCTTTCTTTCTTTCTTTCTTTCTTTCTTTTTTTTTTTCAAGTTCACCAAAAGAAGTGAATGCCGAGAAAATGAAGAAGGCAACCACGAAAGACAGAGTCCAGGCATTCCACCTTCGGAAGAGCTTGAACCTCCTAGACAAGCTGCATGAGGAAAAGGACCTTTTTATTCAGAAGACTAGGTGAGCCCCCTTGCTGAGGACCCATGACCTAGCCACTCCTGGTTGTATGGTGTACATGTATGTGGACAGAAGTCCTGCCTGGTCCTGCAGACGAAGCCATTTAGTCCCAAGTAAACACACAGAGGCTTATATTAATTATATAAAAAATAAGACACTCAGACTTCTTATTGGCTAGCTCTTTCTTAATTATTAACCCATTTCTATTAATCTATGTATCTCCACACGGTCTTGGCTTACCAGAGAGTGTCCAGGTGGCCTACCTTCCTGGTAGCTACAGCGTCTCCCTGACTCCGTCTACTACCTTTCTTTATCCCTGTTTGGGTTTTCTGCCTGGCTAAGTCCTGCCTATCCATTGGCTAAAACAGCTTTATTCGTCAACCAATAAGAGAAACATATATTCACAGCTATCAGAAGGACATCCTCTATCACATGTAGGGAGACCTGCCTTTTGTTTCCTTGACTGCTCTGTACAGGGAGTCCTGCCAGAATCTTCAGGAGGAGCAACCTCACAGCCCTGAGCAGATGTGGAGCCCAGGGCTCCACCTCCTCCTCCCCCTCAATCTAGAGAAGATCCCACAGAATTAAGGGTGCTCCTAGGTCCTTCCAGGTTCTCCACGGCCATCTCATTTCCACAGATTTCAGGTGTGACTGAGGCCTTAATGGAGCCTACTGCTCAGGTCAGGGTCCTGCTGGTCCTGGCCACACTGGCAGTCAGTCTGCCAGCATGTTCAGTGAAAATACTGAATGTGTTTCTCCAACACACAGAAAAATTGGAAACCAGTAGGCAGCTGTCCCCTGTGTGCTACCACTAGGTCACCATGTTTAGCTTTCCCACTGAGTATGTGTCACGTTTGTGTCATGGCTGTGATTCCTTAGCTGAATCATTTGACAGTAGATCTCAGGATCAGGACCCTATTTTAGAGCCTCTGAAAAACAGAAGCACCCTTCTGCATGACCTCATCACATTACACCACTGGGTGTAGGTTCGCCCGGTACCGACGTCATGCCCCTCGTCGTGTGGCAGCTGTCCTGTCGTCCTCTAAGTGTACATTAGAACATACTCTAGACTTTGTTCTGTTACTTCCAGCTGAAATGAAAGTCACCTAACAGGAATGAGCATTTCCCCCAGGCTTACCCATCCAGCCTCAGTCTGTGTTCAGTGTGCCGACGAGGAGCTGCAACAATTTACAGCTGTCTGCTCTTCGGGGGCCTATGTTTATACAGATTTCCCTTGGCTTCCTAGACATATCACCTTTGGAGGAGGTTGCACAACTGACCCCTTTGGCAGGGTCTTCAGGAAACATCCTACTCACATGACATGATAGAGTCAGAGAGACCCCTAGAAAGACAAAGTATTCCTCATCCTGCCCTGGATCTTAGACCTTCCCCCTTCTCTGCCCCACTGGCCCCTTCTGAGGCTAGAACTTTAGGAAAGCATTATGGTAACTCTTTCTTCAATGTTCTAGAGGGGAGCTTCGTGTCTGTCGTCAGAGGATGGACCTCCTCACCAAACAGCAGGAGAGCTTGGCAGCTGAGATCGCCGCAGAGAGAGAAGCCAACAACATGTAGGTCATCCTTGTGGGCAAGGATGGTAACATCATGATAACAGCCAAGTGTTACCATGATGGCCAAGATAGCACCATTCATAGAGGTTCATTCATTCATTCATTCATTCATTCATTCATTCATTCATTCAACAAAGATGAATGTTAAGTACCTACTATGTTCAGACAGTAGACAGCATCTCTCCAGGGTGGCAAACAGACATTATAACACAAAGAAGAAATGTCAGTCTAAGAGCTGGCTCAGTTGGTGAGATACTTGCTACACAAGAATGAGGACCTGAATTTGATTCCCAGCCCCCATAGCAGTGAGTTCACACTCATAACCCCAACACTGGAGTATCCAGAGGTCTTGCTAGATAGCCAGACTCGCAGAATCTGAGCTCCAGATTCAGTGACAGAGCCTGTCTTAAAAAAATAAGGCAGAGAATGTTGACATCTGACACCACACACGAGTATGCATGCACATGAGCGTATATATACTACACATGAGCGTGCACACACAAGCATGTACACACCACACATGAGCATGTACACACCACACATGAGCATGCACACACATGATCACACACACACATGAGCATGCACACACCACACATGAGCATGCACACACATGAGCATGCACACACCACACATGAGCATGCACACACATGAGCATGCACACACCACACATGAGCATGCACACACATGAGCATGCACACACCACACATGAGCATGCACACACATGAGCATGTACACACCACACATGAGCGTGCACACACCACACATGAGCGTGCACACACCACACATGAGTGTGCACACACCACACATGAGCATGTACACACCACACATGAGCATGCACACACATGAGCATGTACACACCACACATGAGCATGCACACACCACACATGAGCATGCACACACCACACATGAGCGTGAACACACCACACATGAGCATGTACCCACCACACATGAGCATGCACACACACGTGAGCACACACACACATGAGCATGTATACACACATGATCACACACACACATGAGCATGTACACACCACACATGAGCATGCACACACATGATCACACACACACATGAGCATGCACACACCACACATGAGCGTGAACACACCACACATGAGCATGTACCCACCACACATGAGCATGCACACACCACACATGAGCGTGAACACACCACACATGAGCATGTACACACCACACATGAGCATGCACACACATGAGCATGTACACACCACACATGAGCATGTACACACATGAGCATGTACACACCACACATGAGCGTGCACACACCACACATGAGCATGCATACATGAGCATGCACACACACGTGAGCACACACACACATGAACATGTATACACACATGATCACACACACATGAGCATGTATACACCCATGAGCATGTACACACCACACATGAGCATGCACACACATGATCACACACACACATGAGCATGTATACACACACAGAGAAAAGAAAAACATTTAAAAAGAAATGTTAGTATAAGGTGCTGAGGTCGCAGAATAGACAAGGCTGAGTCAGAAGTTCTAGCCTTGGTCACTGTGACAAATGTAGAGTTTACTTCTACATTTGTCTGTTTAATTTTATTTATAAATAAAGAAGTATTTATTTATAAAATTATAAATAAAGAAGTCTGTTTACTTCTTTATTTATTTAGAGACAGAGTCTCAATCTTTAGTCTATTCTGTTCTCAAATGCACAATCCTCCTGCCTCACATACTCCAAGCACTGGGATTACAGGCCTGAGCCACCACACCTGGCTTTTTGTGGACCAGCAGCGCAGTGTCCACCAGAAATCCCAGAGCTCATCAGTTCCTGGAAACCTGCTTCCAGCACCACACAAGTGCAAGAGCATTCGTCATCCATGTCTCCTGACAATGTCTTCATGTTCTTCTCATAGATGAGGAGGCCCTTCAGATTTCCCTCCAAACATATGACTACCAAGTAGAGATACCTGCTCACCACTCCATAAAATGATTGCAGTTGGTAGTATAATTGGGTCCCAACAAGGTAGATGGCACATTAGAGAGCTGCACTGCTAGGAAGGAATGAACTCAATAGCTCTGAACACTAGGCCTTAGTACTTTTTTGAGAGTGTGCTGGTCCTTCCTGGGTGTAGAACCTGGGCCTGCTGCTTTGAGGCCCAACAAACAGGAATTTGGCTTCTTGCTTCCTAAGAGAAAGTAAGAGGCCAATAGCAGAGAGTTCATGACCGGTAATAAAAGCAGAAACCCTACCCCAACAGCCTCTGACCTCCATGGACCCTGTGTTAGGCCCTACTGTGGTCCTTTTTGCCCAGCGGGAAATGGGTGTAGGAAGCACCTTACTGGACACCACAGGATCTCACGTCTGGTCATCTGCTTCAGATAGATTTCCTCCTGAAAATGGGATGGCCCGGGGAAAGCACCAGGCTGCCCTTGGTTCCCTTTCTCTGTGAGACCATAGTGCTGATCTATGGCCCTTCCTGTATTCTGTTGATATGCTCCAGGGCCGCTATGGGCCGTCTGCAGGCTGCATCCAGACGCTTGCAAGCAGAGCTGGAGAATGAGAAAGATCTGCAGTCCAAAATCACAGCTATGCTGGAAGACAGTGAGTAAGTTTTCATGGACTCCCACATCCTAGGAAAGACAATTCCACATTGACCTTCCTGCTACTCATCCCAAACGAAGATGAGCTGCCAGCCTCCGGGACTGGTGCTGGGAACCTGAGGGGCGCTGTGCACATCGTAGCCAAGAGGTAGTGCTTACTGACAGTTGATGACAGTCAGACAGATCCTTCATTACCCAGATAAACCCTGCTACCATTCTCTGAACCTTTTCCCAAGCATGTTTGAAGACTTTGGGTGGTTCTTAGTAGCTCCAGTGACCCCCCTCCTCCTCAGAAGACATTTTTTTAGATGTTTTTCTCAAGCCAGGCAAGGGGGCCACTACAGTGAGCTGACCCACTCACTCAGGTGAATGCCCGTGGCCAGTTGCTACCTCAGGCTAGATTTGATAGGATGGCAATTTTCCTAAGTTTGGAGACCAGGTAGTGGGACCTCAGTCTCTAGTAATATTGGGCCAAGGGGAAGCCTTAGAGGAGTGTACTGACTCCTCATCAGTGGTGTCCAATATCTGCCTGGAGTATTTATCAAAATAAAGTACCAGGATCGCTCACCCCACATCCCCAGATAGATGCTCCACAGAGGAGTGGCACCAGGTCTTCAAACCCTTCACCACCATAGACTACCCATGGTTTATTTTTGCAAGGAATGCCATGTGGCACATTGAGATCCAGAAGGGGCAATTTGAGGATGTCCGGAAGCGTAATGAAGAAGAGGCAGAAGCTAGGCATAGGTGCCTTGAGGTACACGCAGCTCAGCAGCTTCAAAAGGAGAAAGAGACCTTGGAGAAGGTGGAGAGGAACCGTCTGCTGAGGGCCCGGTAAGTGCCTCCCAGACCTGGCCCTTGCCAGTTCAGTTCCCTTGTGTTCTACACCAAGTCTTACAAGGTCCGGCTCTTTGCATCTGTGCCATGGGTCCTGTCCCTACTCCATATTAAGTGTCCACAGGCACCACTGACCCTTCTGTGTATTTCTTTACCCCTTTACAGCTGTGCTGTTCTTTGACTCTGCCACACATCTGGATTCTCCTTTGCCTACACAAGCCTAGGAGGGGTCAAGTTCAGTTCCCAGACATCCTCTGAGGCAGCCCCCATCTCTGCTCAACCACTGATCCCCAGGAGCTAGGGGGCTCCTGGACTCTGCTCTCCCAAGATGGAGCAAGTCCCTCTTATCTCTCTACCATCAACTTTGCTGGTCTCCTCTCCTGCCAGACTCCTGCCCAGCCGGGGTCAGACCCTGGTTCTGGTGACTTCCTCATACCACAGCCCTCAGCAGCAATTTGTTTATTTGTGACACACAGGTGTATTGAGTTACCCTTGTTCTCCTCTCTGCCTGTGTCTCTGCAGGAACTCCTTGCATGTGCAGAAGGAGCTGGGGCTGAGACATCAGAAGCTGGTGGAAGATGCCCAGAGAAACCACAAGGTGGCAGTGAAGTTCCTGAAGGCCTCTCTGGGGAGGTGTGTTCTCACTGTGACCCTTCTTCTGTAGATGGCCTCTCTGGGGAGGTGTGTTCTCACTGTGACCCTTCTTCTATCGATGGCCTCTCTGGGGAGGTGTGTTCTCACTGTGTCTCTTCTTCTATCGATGGCCTCTCTGGGGAGGTGTGTTCTCACTGTGACTCTTCTTCTATCGATGCTTTTGAGTGATCTTGGAATGTGGGTTCATGACCTTGATTTTGAAATTCCCTAATTAAGTCATCACCCAATCATCAGAAACAAATAGACCTGCAGTTTTTTTGTTTTGTTTTGTTTTGTTTTGTTTTTAAGCTGCTATTTGTATTTGCAAGAGGACCATGAGATACAATGAGGCCCTAGGGTCTAGAGAACATCCCCAGCCACCTGTCCCATAAGAATATGCCCTAGAAAGCAATGCTTATCCATTTACTTTTGTGTTGTCAGCTTTTATTGTTTCTCTGATAAAAATAACCAGAAGACTCCTATAACTCAACAATTGTCAGCATTACCTGCACACGTCCCTATTAAAAACTCACATTACACCAGGAATCGTGACACACACCTTTAATTCCAGCACTAGGAAAGCAGTTTCAGACCAATATCTGAGTTTGAGGCCAACCTGGTCTACACAGTGAGTCCCAGGGCAGCCAGGGCTGCATAGAGAGACCCTGCCTCAAAACAAACAAACGAAAACAAAGGATAAATATAATGCATGTCCCTCCAGAGTTCGGGAGCGAGAGCAGAAGGAGGAGATGGAGTCCCGAGAGCATTTGAAGCGACGTATGGACGCGGTGCTGGCCCTGAAAAACAACATCACTGCCAGCAGGGTAGGTGCCGCTCCAGCTCCTGGCTGCCCGGGTGCCAACGCCAGCCTGCCCAGCTAGCTGCTCTCTGAAGGCTTACCATGCCTCCACCATAGGCTTCCTCCCTGGACTGCAGACAGGAACCACAGTCCAGCGGAAGGAAAACAGCGCTGTTCTGAGAGGGCAGTGTGAGGGCCAGTACCAGGGCTCAGGTCTGGGCTAGGTAGGAATGTGGTAGGGATGAACAGGTCACAACACCATGAAGAGTCAGAACAGAATTCCATGCCCAGGGGACCCAGGGCTGTGTGTGGGGTGAGAGATACATGAGAAAGTTATGAATGCTTGCAAATTGCCTATCTTGGGACCCATAAGTTTCATCATTGATTTAAATACATCCATTCAAAGAAAAGGTCTGAATATGAGTGTGAGTGTGTGAGTGTGTGTGTGTGTGTGTGAGAGAGAGAGAGAGAGAGAGAGAGAGAGAGACATGCTGGTATCATGACTTTAGAGTTCCCTATTTCCAGGAAACACTAAAGAAGTTCCAAGCATGGGGCCAAAGAAAGGCAGAGCTGACTAAGCAGAAGACCCTGTCAGAGAAGGAAGTGATCCTGGCCCAAGGTGGAGATGCGTTCAAGCACCTTTGTCATCAGCGCAGGCACCAGGAACTTGAAGCCCAGAAGCGGTAAGAGCTGGAGACACTTGCCTGGGAGGTGGGCACAGAGAGTGGCACAGAGAGAACCAAAGGCTTATCCTTCATCCACCAAAAGCAACAAACCAATTCCTGCACAGACTTTTCGCCAAAAGCAGTGTGGGTTATGGAGGAGAACTGCAGCACTGCCCTTCCTAACTCCTGGCTGCAGAAGTCTCCAGGGGGCCCTGGCATTTGGGGGCCTTTTATAGAGGCTCTTAGTGGGCGAAGACACCTCTTTCCTCAGTTCTTATCTTGACTTCCTGGTTCTTCAGCCATGAGGTTCCTGAGCTCCCATGGTCCCCTGCTCCTTGGGGGATGCCTAGGTCTCATTCACGTATTGCCTTTTGGATTCATTCTTTGGTCCCCTCTAGTCCATTAGTCAGTGTTTTCTCCCACAGAGTTTTCAAAGAGGCCTACTTCATATTGGCCTTTTCCATCTCACACACATTGCTTAGTGTCTCTGCCTAAAGCTGTCCTCATTCTGAAGAGCCAAGCCCTTTATCCCAAGTCCCTAATCCCTGCTGGTCACTGCATAGGATCTGCTTGGATATTGCCTGTTGACTCACTTGCTATAGGGATTCCTCCTCTTCAAAGTGTCTCACAAATGTGCAAAACACACACATATACACAAGTGAGTGCACACATACACACACAGGGGCACACACACAGGCACACACAACGGGCACAGATACACAGAGGCACACACACTCACAGAGGCACACATACACAGAGACACACACATGTGGACACAAACAGGGGCACACACACATGGGCACACACACAGGCACACACACAAATGGGCACACACACAGGAACACACACATGTGGGCACACACAGGCACACACACATGGGCACACACACAAATGGGCACACACACATGGGCACATACACATGTGCACACACACAGGGGCACACACACATAGGCACACACATGTGTGCACACACACATAGGCACACACAGGCACACACACATGGGCACACACACGGGCACACACATAGGGGCACACACACACATGGGCACACACATGTGGGCACACACACATAGGCACACACAGAGACACACATGTGGGCACACACACATGGGCACACACACATGGGCACACACACAGGGGCACACACACAAGGGCACACACACACATAGACACATATGGGGCACACACACACGGGCACACACACAGGGGCACACACATGTGGGCACACACACATAGGCACACACAGGCACACACACGTGGGCACACACACACGGGCACACACATGTGGGCGCACACACATAGGCACACACAGGCACACACACATGGGCACACACACACGGGCACACACACAGGGGCACACACACACAGGCACACACATGTGGGCGCACACACAGAGGCACACACAGAGACACACACATGTGGGCACACACACATGGGCACACACACAGGCACACCACCACAACTGCCAGCAGCGTTTTGATGTTTCCTGTCAGTCTGCCCACATGTGATGTGGTTATAGGTCTGTTGCCTGAAATCTGACGAGTGCGTGATATGTCACCAAGCCCTAATGTTGCCCTTGTTTTTGTCTCAGCTGGGTCTCCTCAGCCACAAGCCTAGAAACCAGGGTGGGGAAGCTCATGAGGCCCAGGGTTTATTGTGGGAACTTCAAAACTGATATGAAGGAGACAATTCAAAACTAGACAGGTCAAATGCAGAGCTGGACAGGGCAAGATAAGGTCTGGTAAGGTGAGGGTCCGAGTCACATCTCCAGCTTAGCAGCCCTTATGAGCTTTATCTGTTACGTTCTCTATCCAGGACAGGATGTCCTAACCCCAGAGCCCTCCTAAGCTGGACTTGAGCTCTTAGGAAGGAACCAGAGAGCCGAAAGAAACACCACATCTAACCCTGGTAGCCACTTGGTGCCCAGCTTGCGGGTGCTAGGAAAGGGCACCCAGCTCTTATCTGAGAAGCACTTCTCATAGGGCTTTTGAAGAGGAGCAGAAACTCCGGAAGCAGGAGATTGTCAGTCGAATTCTGAAAGAGGAAGCAGAGGAAGAACACAGGAGAAAGAAGCAGCATCTGCCCTCTACAACCAAAGAGAAGCAGACTCTGAGAGACAAAACCTGGAAGTACATCTCTGACTTTTGTGAGGGGAAGACTGCCATGACCATAAACTACCTGGTGGTAAGTAGGACATTGGCTGCTTTCAAGTCTAGGCCAGGCACTTAAAGGTGCAGGTGTGAAGAAGCTGGCTGAGGGGCGCAGGGCTGTCGCCCTGTGATGCCCACCAGGGTCCTTCTCTCCTTCGAGTAAGCTCCTCATATTAGCCAATGGTGTTATCAGAGCCCTACAAAGCTGCCTGTCTATGAGAAGGGAAAAGTCCCTCAACTGTCCCTTCATACCCGTGAAGAGACTTGTGTAGCCATTGTCCATAGACATGTTATTAACCTTGCAAGGTATTCCTGGTGTCTCTCTGAGTATTCCTGTCACACCAAGGTTCTGGTCTGACCCAGTGGCCTGTGTAGACAACACCCTAGGCTGGGGAGATTTATTTCCAGGTTACCTCTCTTTAAAGGTGTAGGAACCTCTCTTTAAAGGCTGCTCCTTAACCCAGCACACTGCATCCCACACCTGCTGCTCTCTGGGCTTCCTGATCTGTGGCCTCTGGGGTATTTTCCTGTGCATTTAGTGCACCATAGGCTTTTTCTTGTTTCTCACCTCTCTGTGTACCAGGTGGGGCCTCTACCTCTCAGCCACTTCCCACCTTGACCCTGGTTTCCCCTGGTGTATGCCACTGGCCTCTCTCCTCCAGGAGGAAGGGCCCTGGCTTCCCGTGGTGTACAAGCATAGTACAGAGAAATCAGATGAGTCCTGAAGCCCAAAACAGTTCCAACAAAACCAGTACTGCCATCTTTTCTGAGTTTTTATGGGACTTCTCCAGGGCTGGTGCACCATCCACCATGAAAATTCAATACGTTGAGTATCCCTGATGGAATGATAGAGAAAATTACAGCATAACCACTAATCAGAATATTTTCTTATGAACAAGACCTTCTTGTGGACTCTGCAGAACACTATAGGAAGGCATTCAGTAGTCCATAGACATGTGTATGACATATTTTAAAGTTACAAGGATTTATATGCACACAATTGTCTCTGTAAAGAACAAAGGAATTCCTTTAACCCCAGCACTGGGGAGGCAGAGGCAGGCAGATCTCTGTGAGTTCCAACCCAACCTGGTCTACATAGTAAGTTCCAGGTCAGCTAGGGCTACACAGAAAGACTGAGTCTCAAGAAGAAGAAGAAGAAGAAAAGAAGGGGAAAGACAACAACAACAACATTGTGGGGTCTTCAGGCCAAGTATCCAGTAGAGTTTCAGGGGTTTTGTTTTCTTCCTACTCACTATGCATTCTCCATCCTGTAATGACTATATCTTACTACATCACTCTTGTGCGGGCAGGAAAATGACACGGCATTGTACCCCAAGCCTTCCAGTCTATTGAAAGCCATATCCAGTGAGTCTGTGCAGGTGGAACTGGGAACCGTTAGTACGGAGGAGGAGGTGCTGACTGAACCAGATATCCCTGGGCTTTGGAGCAAAGACTATAAGTCATACCAGGTAACGGCTTTTCCCTGTCAGGTCCTTCACAGGGTGGAACCCTGACCACACTGAGACTCCAGGTTCCTGGGTGCAATTGCCCACCTCCTGCCCAGTTCTGTGCCTGCCACTGCCCCCTTCAAATTCTAGGTCTTTCTCCCCTTTCCATAGTATTGAAAAGAATTGACCTGTGGCCAGCCTTTCCTTGCTCTGCCAGGTTTGGCTCTGTACTTTGAACAAGCATGGACCTCTGTCTTTCTGAACCCAAGGTGTCAAAGCCAGATGCGGAACGGAAACCTGTGGGTGGAACTAAGATGGACAAGGACATCCTGGATCGCACTATGGAGCAGCTGCGCAGTGGGATCATCCACAAGCAGGTGGTGTCTGGGAGGGAGTTCAAGGGCCGCCCATTCAACAGCAAGCCCGAGGTCATTCACTTCAAGGTGAGCTGGGACCAAGTAAAGAAGCCTCTGGTCTGCTCCCCTGCCTCTGGTGCTTTCTGTTTTGACTTTGGGGCTGCCATGCAAGGGCTGTGTTGACAGCCTAAGGAGCAGGAAACACCTGGGCACTCCTTTAAAGGGGCCTGGACTCCTGTGAAGGAATATAACAGGGTAATCACTTGTTAGGCCCCTTCTGCTTAGCAAATAACCCCTCCTCGTGTAGGGGGGCGCCCCAAGGACACCAAGACCCACCAGCAGCTGCCTAGAAAGAAAGAAAGGCAGGCTAAGCTACATAGCCCAAGCTTCTGTTCTCTCTCCCACCCAACCAATCCTCCACAAAACTCACTTCCTGCTCAGGAGGAAGTTCTTCGCTGTCGTTTACATACCTCAAGGGGGCGTCACAACTCTAGCGAAACCTGGGGAATCATTTTCTACCCCAGGATCCTTATCTTCCCATGAGTGAGTGCAGGGTAGACCCCTCTATTCCTGACCTGCACTCTAGGCCTGCTGGAGGACTTGGGGGTCACCGTGTCTTCTCTATCTCTGCAGGATTTTGATATTGGTAAAGTGTACAAGAAGAAGATCACGTTGATAAATGCTACCTACACAATCAACTATTGCAAGCTGGTGGGTGTGGAGGAGAACCTGAAGGACTTCATCCACATTGAGTAAGTCTTGCAGAGTCCAGGCATGAGGCCACAGGGCCAACTTGCCGTGAAGAGTTGCAGAGGTTACTGCTCCATCACTTAATATTGAAGTCACACAGACCCGTCCAGCACACCCCCCCCCAGCCCCCCGAGGGCATGACCAAGCTTTTTGGATAGGCTGCCTAAGTCTCCTCACATTTTCACTGTGTGTTGGTTTTGGCACTGTAGTAGTTGCCCTTGGCAGCTAGCAGGCTTTCTCACTATGTAGATTTCAAGACTGCCTTTCTGAAGCAGTCTTTGTGCTAGTGTTTCATGTTTTTTTCTTGTTTCTCTAAGAATCCTCTTGTGTACATATTACCACTTCTTTGCTGGATTTCTAAGTATTATTTTTCTGTGGTTACCTTTAATGTTTCTCCATTCCCACCCCACCCCCTCCATTTTTTACTTTGCAACGTTTTCAGCAGCACTTTGTTTTGTTTGTCAGCATCTGACCTTCATCTTTCTTTCCTAATTTTTCCTTTTTGTTGTTTCTGAACAAAGGGTCTTGCTCTGCATCCTAGGCTGACCTTGAACTCATCATGTAGTTCAGGCTGGTCTCAAACCTGCAATCCTCCTGCCTCAGTTCCTAAATAGCTGACACTATTGGTGTGTTTCACTGTGTGCAGCTTATAGTCAGCTTTGTTCACAGCTCAAATCATGTACATCTGCTAGTGGATGATGTACAATTTCTTTTTTGTTTTTGTTTTTGTTTGTTTGTTTGTTTGGTTAGTTTTTCGAGACAGGGTTTCTCTGTGTAGCTTTGGAGCCTATCCTGGCACTCGCTCTGGAGACCAGGCTGGCCTTGAACCCACAGAGATCCGCCTGCCTCTGCCTCCCGAGTGCTGGGATTAAAGGTGTGTGCCACCAACGCCCAGCATGAAGTGCAATTTCTAAATTGGGGTCTTAGTATAAATTGGTCCCTGACTCCTCTGCTCAGGTTTCAGGGTCCCTTTCTTCTCCCTGGAGGGGGTCTTCATAAGGCTATTCCTGTGGGACTGTGTTCCTGCATAGTTTATCTGCGAACAGCACTGGCTGGCCGAGTCTGAGCAGTATTTCCCACGTAGAGGTGCTGTCTGTCCTCTTGGGAACAGAGCACAAGTGGACAGTAGGATCTTTTGGTCCTCTACACCTTCTTTCTGGCAATTTTGGAATCTCCTAGCTGTCTGCAAAGTCTTGCATGGTGGGAGTATTGCTAAAATTTGTTTATTTTATCCACTGTGTGAGTTTGAGATCTGAGAGCATCTCTGTCTTTTAGCCATGCTGAGTCACTTGCTTCTGTGGGCCTGTAGGGTTTCTGGAGAGCATGTGGAGGACCCGGGTTAGGTGGTGGTCACCGTCACCTCAGCTGCCTCGGAGCCCTCCTTCCTAGGCCTGGCTTCAAGGTTCTCCCCACACCTGAAGGCTGACCTCCATTTCTGTCTCCTGGTTTCTTTTGCTGTTGCAGATGTGACTCTCCAGTGTGCCCCTCAGTTTCCTCTGGCTGAACTGAGATCCCTGCCCTCAGTGTCCCGCAGCCCTACTTACTGCAGCATTCCTTCTTTAGACTCATTGCTCTGCTTGGAGTTGAGGTTCATGTCTTTGAGCAGTTCTAGAAATGTCTCATCCTTAACCCGTAAATATCAGCACTCCCCATGGCTTTGTCTCTGCCCTGTCCTCCCATATGGAGCTTCTCTGTCCTTATGGCACCTGCTTCACACTCTGTGCCTATTTAGGCAGTGTGTGAGGTATCCCAGCTTCTGGTCTCTTCAGCTGTGTCTAGCTGGCTGCAGAAGCTGCTGATTGTGTGTCTTGTTTTAGTACTATGTTTCTCATTTCTAAAAATTCCTAGTTCTTTTTCAGATGAGCTGGCATCTCTGTCTCTGTCTCTCTCTCTCTCTGTCTCTCTCTCTCTCTCTCTCTCTCTCTCTCTCTCTCTCTTTGCTTTATGAGATAGGATTTCTTGTTTCCTTGTGTAGCCCTGGCTGTCCTGGAACTCACAGATCCACCTGCCTCTGCCTCCCAAATGCTGGGATTAAAGGTGTGTGCCACCACTGCCCAATTGTAGTTTTTATTTTGAGATTTCCAAACTTACCATTTCTTTTGGTTGTATGTGCATGTGCCCTTTTTCTTAGCAGCATCTTTTTCTTTCTTCCTGCCCACAACGCTGTATCTTCATGACTTTGCTGTTTTACCACGTGCCTCATACAAGTTTCAATAGTGTGTTGTGTGAAGTTTCTAGAGTTTGGCCCTGCTTTTCACTGAGTTGGTTCTCGAACACCCCACATGTGCATAGCCTTGGATTCTGATCCGCTTACCACTTAGTCTCCAGGGTGAGAGCCCCAGAGATCTTCCTGTCTCTGCCTCCCCAGTGCTGTAATTACAGGCACATATCACCACTCCTGGCTTTTTTCTTGAGTTCTGGGGATTGAACTCTGGTCCTCATGCCCACAGAGCAAGCAGTTTATTGACTGAGACAGCTCCCTAGCACCCAGAGACACATTTTTTTTATATTAAGTTTTTGTGTATCTACAAACCAAGAAAATTATGAAAATTCAATGTTGTAAACGTAGGGCTGATACTAGGAATTCTATGGGAAGACCCTTTCACTCACCTAAGATTCAGATCAATACAGACTAGCTCCCATCTCATTTCCCTGAAGTTGGGCTGTTTTCCTGGATGGCATGACTTACAGCCCTTCCCTTCATGTTGCTATTAGAACTCAACATCCTTGATCCAAGGCCTAGTGATTGTACCCAGGGTAGCAATATCCTACAGCATCCATTCTTTTGGAGCTGGCTTTTGGGAATGCACTTTACTCAGTGGACAGATATTTGAAGATTATCCAAGTGTCTCCTGTTCATCAGGAAATGGAGTCAGTAAGGAACACAGCAGACTTGGAACTGCTTGTGTGCCAACACATCTAAGTAGAGGTGTTGCCTTAGCTATGGCTACTATTGCTAGTGTAAAACACCATGACCAAAAGCAGCCTGGGGAGAAAAAAAGTTTATTTGGCATACATTCCCACATCATAGTCCATCATTGAAGGAAGTCATGACAGGAACTCAAACAGGACAAGAGCCTGAAGGCACAAGCTAACGCAGAGAGGTCACAGAGAGGTACTGCTTACTGGCATCTTCCCACATCACCGCTAATTAATAAAATGCTGTACGGGCTTGCCTACAGACAAATTCTTTGGAGGCATTTTCTCAACTGAGGTTCCCATCTCTCAAATGACTCTAGCCTGTCTTAAGTGAGCATAAAAGTACCAGCACAGGTGTGGAACAGAAAGAGAGAAGGAATCCAAAAGACCCAGCTGAGTGTGTAATGAACGTCCACTTTCCACAGTGACTTAACCACCCATGTGCTGTCCCTGCAGCTTTGACCCCCCTGGTCCCATGTCAGCCGGGATGTCCTGTGAAGTTCTTGTCACCTTCAAGCCTATGGTACGTCAAAGGATCACACAGGGGTGCTGTTTTTTTTCTGGCTTAACAACAACAACAACAACAGAGTTCAGCACCATTCTATAATGCTAGCAGAATAAAGCTTGCCAGAAGGTTTGGTTTTACTTTCTTACATGAGCAACTCTCCGTAGGCTGTGAAGAGTGTTTCCTCAAGACCTGCCTATGGGAGGCACTTTGGGATTCTTTCCCCGGGAGCCCACTAAGCAAGTAGTAGACAGGTCTCGGCCATAGTCATACAGATGCAGCCTCTGTTAACCGTGTCATCATAGAAATGCATAGTGACTGGGATTGTTTTGCTTTTTAGATAAATAAAGATCTGGAAGGAAATGTTTCATTTTTGGCTCAGACGGGCGGCTTTTCTGTTCCACTGAAATGTTCAACGAAAAAATGTTCTGTAAGTTTAAGTTCCCAGAAGTTCTCTCCATGATAAGGGCTGCACCCTTGGAGCACCAGAGCATGGGGCTAGAGCGCTACCACAGATCTGGGTCCCCTGGCAGCTCTAGCAGACTCCATTCTGAGCCGAGGCTGGGTGGCATGAGATACTCTGAAAAGGCAGTCATCAGACCAGAGCTGGAAATTTCTAGATAAACCCTTCTCTGTATGGGGTCCCTGACTAAGAGGCTCAGAGTTCAGAGGGCAGGGGATCTGTCCGAGACTCCAGCTCTTTCTTCAGCCCTTGGGTGTGTCCTCAGATACACATATTTTTTTTTCAAGACAGGGTCTCACTATGTTCTCTGGCTGTCCTTGAACTCACTATGTAGACCAGACTGGTCTCAAACGCAGAGAAAAATCACCTGCCTCTACCTCATGAGTGCTGGGATTAAAGTTGTGCAACACTACACCCAGCTTTCAGATTTTTGTTTGTTTTTGATTTTTGTTTTTTGAAACACGGTTCTCTGTGGCTTTGGAGGCTGCCCTAGAACACACTCTGTAGACCAAGCTGGCCTCAAACTCACAGAGATCCTCCTGCCTCTGCCTCCTTCAGCAAACACTACTGGCGCATGCCACCACAACTGGCACTTTCAGACTTTTTTAAAAAGATTTATTTATTTTTTGTATATGAGAGCTCTATCTGCATGTATGACTTTATGTCAGAAGAGAGCATCAGATTCCACTATAGATGGTTGTGAGCCACCCTGGAGAAAGACCTCTGGAAGAGCAGCCAGGGTTCTTAACCACTGCGCCATCTCTCCAGCCCCAGATGTTTTTATTTTGAGTAAATCTGCAAACATAATGAAAAACAGAATCACTCAGTGATTTCCACATACCTACTGTCTACGTCTGATAGTTGCCAACATCTGCCACACTGGCTTCATCTCTCTGCAATCTCTTGTTGTGGGATCACTTTGGAGAAAATTACCAATATCAGACTTAGCACCCTTAAAAATGTTGGCATTTCTAATAAACACCCACCAATCACGTCATTGTTTCTTTCCACGGTGACACTCACAGCACAAACCCGACACAGGTGACAGACTGCAGCGTGTCTTCAGTCCGTCTCCCCCCCCCCATATGCTATAAAGCCCACAGGTTCCTTGTGAGCTGACTGAGGTGGACTGAGATGAGCCAGGAAGCTCCGCCCTGGGCATGTCACCCTGGCCTTCTCAGCCTTGTAACCTCTACAGCAGCATCCGCCTAGCATGAATTTCTCATGGAAAACGACTGCAAATGTAGACACCAAAGCCAGCAGTACCAGCAAATCTCTTCCTTCACTATCTCCCATTGATTTAGTGCCCCAACCAAGGCCCACGTACAAGTTCAAAAACAGTGGGGCAGAGAGAGACACCTTCTCCAGCGTAATGGGCAAAACAAAGAGAGAATGGAAAATAGAGACAATAGTCTGTACGTTACACCAACCAACTAGCAGAATTCCTGATTATCACCTAATACTCAATTCATATCAAATGTGTCCCACTGTCTCCAAACTACCTTTTTTATATAGCTGTTATTTTTTATGTCATTGAGATTACATTTGATTATTACATTGGTGACTATGTTTCAGCCTAGAATACCAGCCCCCCCCTTCCACTTTTGGGTCACAAAACTTAGTAAGCCAATTCTTTTATAGAACATCCTGGGTTTGTATGACTGCTCCTTATTGCTGCGTTTACTATGTCCCCCAATCTCTGTGTTCCTTTAAATTAGGTGTCGATTAAATTAGACTTGAGAATGATTTCCTTTTGAGGAAAGAAGGGTTCACTCTGGCTCTAGTCTGGGGACCTGGTCCCTCAGGATGGGGCAGTCATGGCTGCAGGATGCGGAGGCAGTTGGTCACATTTGTACCCTTGGTCAGGAAGCAGAGAGTGATGATACTAGCTAAAGTCCCTTTGTCCTTTGTTAAGAGATAGCTTTGCTTAAGAGTACTTGTTGCTCTTGTAGACCCAGGCTAAGTCCCCAGGACCTACATGGGGGTTAACAGCCATCTGCAACTCCAGTGTCAGGGCATCCTATGTATTCTCCTGACCTCTCAGGCATGCATGTGGTATGCATACATACATGCAGACAAAGGGCTCACGCACATAAAATGAAATTTTTAAAATAAAAAAGAAGTAGTTATAAAAGATAGACTTTACTTTTTCTTTGATACCCGAATACATGTATAAAATACACTGTGATTTTTTTTAAAGATTTTATTTATTATGTATACAACATTATTCTGCTTCCACGTATATCTCCACACCTGAAGAGAGCACCAGATCTCATTACAGATGGTTGTGAGCCACCATGTGGTTGCTGGGAATTGAACTCAGGACCTCTGGAAGAACAACCGGTGCTCTTAACCTCTGAGCCATCTCTCCAGCCCCTACACTGTGATTATTATAACCCCTTACCCTCTCTGCTTTCCCTCCCGTCTTAAATACTCTCACCTCACTACAAGTTGGGAACCAGTGTTAGGAAGCTGGTACTATGTGCCTCATGTGTCCCACCCGCACTCCCAGGATTGTGACAAGTGACTGTCACAGACACTGAGACTCACCTGTTCAAGAGCTTTCCTGGGAGCAGGTCTAGTGAGCAAACCAGTGAGAACTCTGTCTCAGCAGGGGAAAATGGTAGCCCTATGCTAGTCATCTGTAGCAGTCGCAGGTGGCCTCTCTGGACTGAATCTGGACTACTCTGTCTTATACTTTGGTCCTGCTTGCTTTGGTAACCCATTGTCATGCCTCTGGAGAAAGGCACTGCAGGTGGACGTAACACCAGTTCTAATAGGTCTTAAAAATCAAAGCCCGGAGTCAGATATCAGGGGATGAAAGCTGAAAGATCAGAGAAGCAGAGCAGCAGACACTAGAGAGGGCTCGTCTACAAAATCCTCAGACTGAAAAGAGGCGGAGCTCCTGTCTCCTCCCACCTACATTCCTCTCTCGGTCCAGCCATCTCACTTCCTGTCTGTCTGTACAGACCCCCAGACCTATGTATAGCTAGTGGCTTGCTCTGCCCTCTGATGTCCAGGCAAGCTTTATCTGTTAGAGTGTAAGCAAGGTATCACCACAGGTGGAGCCCTAGGTTTAGATTCAGTGCCCCAAACAGCCCTGCGAGCAATGCCATTTGGGGAATCATAGTGATACCCAGGCTTGATGGCACTCTCAGCTTGAGCACAGTGAGTCTGTGGCCTGTAGTCCATGGAGGGCGTGAGTGACATGACATGATCCCACTCTGAAGTAGCTGAGGCAGCACTTTCCAGTCCTAGTCTCTGCAGGACAGGTTAACAGCTCACCTCAGCCAGGAATGGCAGCTGTTACATCTTGTCCACCACTCACAGACCACTCACAGACCACTCACAGACCACGATGTCTCTCTCCTCTCTTTCAGTCATCTTCTCTCAATCATGGAGCTGCTGGTTTGACCCTCTTAAAACCAGATGCAGCAGCCCCAAGCTGTGCTGGTCATGACATGAATCTGTGACTTTTAAAAATGATTTATTGATTTTTATGTAAATTGGTGTCTGGCTGCATATGTCTGTGTAAGGGTGTCAGATCCCCTGGAACTAGAATTACAGTTAGTTGTGAGCTGCCATGTGGGTATTGGGAATTGAACCTGGGTCCTTTGGAAGAACAGCCAGTGAGTGCTCTTAACCACTGAGCCATCTCTCCAGGCCCAATCAGTGACTTCTTGGGCTGTGTCCTGATGTGTAGTGCACAGATGCTCATGGTACCCTTGCCTCTTCTGCCTGAAGTCAAATGCAAGCCCAGGTTCCATCCCCACCCCCACCCCACCTCCCGCACTTCTTGGGACAGCACCTGATACTTTGGAGAGTAAACCTTCTTTTGTGGGATATCAGGTCCTCTGGGCCATGATGCCTGCAAGGACCTACTTCCTTTGTGATTGAGGATGCAAACAGCCCAGAAGCCCCTCCATCCCCCCTTACACTTTTGTTCTCTGGCAGCTGTCCCTTGACAAGGACCTCATTGACTTTGGCAGCTATGTGGTGGGCGAGACCACATCCCGGATCATCACACTGACCAATGTTGGGGGCCTGGGCACCAAATTCAAGATTCTCCTAGATTCTCAGTTCTATGAGATGGAAGAAGTCCAACCCATCGTGAAAATAGTGAGTGCACCAGCAGCTTCTTTCTGACCATCAGCCAAGGCCACCATGGGTCTCTGTGGTTCTGCTCAGTCAAGGATGGGGTGGGAGCCTCCCAGTCATGTATACAATCTCATGTGTGTACAAATATGTGAGCAAATAAGAGTGTCAGAAAATCGGGGTGGGGGGAGGAAAATGTCACAATAGCCTCACGTGCAGTCTGGCCCCGGCAGCAATGGCAGCAGAATGGGGCTCCCCTTAAGGCAAGCAGGGCCACTGGGAGGCCCTGAAAGGGCCAGAGTCCAACCAGACAGCTCCATGAGAAACCATGGATCTCCTTCCAGAGCGTGACAAAGGCCTTTGTCTTTCCCAAGACAACTGTGCATGGGCCACAGAATGGCAACAGCCTTAGGGGTCCTACTCAAAAAATGAACTCACCATGCTCATGGATTGTGGGTTCATCTGGGGAAGGTGAACAAAAGATGTACCTTTTCTTACGTGCTTCTAAATATTTGAGTGTTCTTATGAGAAGCATGAAGCAATCCTGTTGGCTCTGTTCAGGTACCCCAACAAAGACCCCAGAAAGTATCTCACTCAGGAGATGGCAGGACCAACAGGGCAGCCATGGCCAAGGCAGTATGGAGAGCATCTGCTGTGGGGGAAAGTGGGTCTGTGGTCAGAACCAGAGAGCAGAGCAGGCCGAATGGGGAAATAGGAGCCAGGCTTGCTTTGGGCAGATAGATGAGTTGCCTGGGGGATGGGGGTCTGGGGCATCTAGGAGTTCTGCCTCTAACCGGTTAGCTGTGGGAAAAGGAGAGTCAGCACAACCAAGGCTAGAGCAGAGCCAGCCTCTGGCCAAGTGACCAAGTAGACTGTAAAGAGGTCAGACTCAGCAGCTCATAGGTGGGGTCTATGATGGGGCATCCATGCTGATCAGAGAGAAGCCAGCTCAGCCAAGATAAAATAGACAGTCATCCCTGCCCTAGGTAAGTTGATGCTTAAGTGGTCTCAAGACCCAGGATAGACAGAATGAGAGCATACACATGGCGGTGGCGGGGAGGGGGGCAGATAAATTTGTGTCTTCTCCTGGACTTACCTGGTGACAAGGGTATCTGTGGAGTTGAATGGGCAATGAAGACATTGAGTTCCATTTCAGAGCAGCCTTTACACCTGTGAGGACAAAAGTCTCTATGAGAAGATCCTTACCAGTCTCTCTGAACAACGTCTTGATGGCAATGGGTTCTCCCCACCAGACATCCTGAGCCGAAAAGAATCTGAGAAACTGGATGGTAAGTGTTGTGGAGACTTGTGAGAGGGTAGTAGGTACCTACTTCAAACTTCCTGCACTGATTCCTGAGCCAGCCAGGGCCCTTGGCCTCAGCTGAATGCTGAGTGGGACTACAAGAGGGTCCTACTCAGGTAGCCATCCAAGAGCTACTCTCACCACAGCCACCTTAGAATCTCCGGTCAACTAGAGGGGCCAGAGAGCCAGCATCTCAACTGGAGACTGACAGGCCTGTTGTCTAGGTGATGTGGAGGAGGGTCAGGGGTACAGAGTTTTCTCAGGGCTTCGACCATAAGTGATAGTAAATATAGAACAAACTCATCCATGCAAATATGCACCGGTTACAGTGTGCATCAAAATTTTATTTGTGCTGAAACTAACGGTGGGTGTCAACAAAAGCCCCAGATGTGGACAGTCAGGCTGACCACGTGGTATACAGAGGTGAGGGCTTTGAAGGCTCTGCCTATGAAAAATGGTCCCTGCAGTGCCACCAGGCTCTGAGGCTGAGGAGGGAGTTTGTTTTATACCAGTTGTGTAGAAGTGCAGATGATACACAAGGACAGCCCTAAAAACTGAACAATCCCTGTGCCGAGTTGGGGAAAGAGGTACCCTGGGAAGGCACTGGCTTTACTGTAATGCAGACTCTCTCCACCCTGTGACACTGCCTTCACTCGGTTTTCACCACTTCCCTGTTTTCTTTCTTGTTTGTTTGTTTTCAAAACAGGGTTTCTTTGTGTAGCCCTGGCTGTCCTGGAACTCACTCTGTAGACCAGAACTGACCTCAAACTCAGAGATCCACCTGCCTCTGACTCCCAAGTGCTGAGATTAAAGGTGTGCGCCACCACTGCTCATCCATGGTTTTTATTTTAAGACGTCCAAATTTACCATTTCTTTTGGTTGTATGTGTACATGCCCTTTTCCCCTTGCCAAGGTCATAAAAATGTGGGACATACATCTTACATTTAAATCAGTAGTTCGTTTCAAATTTTAAAGATTTTGTTGAGGAGTTCTTCAGTGTACACTAGTCCAAATTCTACTCATTGCAAGAAATTCCCACTTAAGTTTCAGAGACAGACACAAGCCCTTAGAACCCTTGGTCTCCCGCAGATCATCCTTAACTTATCCAATCTCTATCACATTGGCATGTGCCCTCTCACTGGTCAACCTGCAGCTCAATGACTTTTCCATATTCTGTATATGCAATGGCACTACCATTACAGGCCAACTTCTTCTTAAATGCCTTCACTGGTTCCTTTTTATCATTTTCATCAGCAATTCCTGAGATGGTGGTTAAGGGTCTTCCTGCCACCTCTCTGTTGAATTCTCACAGAGATAGAACTCTCATTCCCAGTGGGAAGCATGTCATCACCTTACCTGGATGAGCAAAGGCTTGAAAGAGTGGAGGACTGGATAGTAATGTACTTCCTTTATAGAAACTGTCCAGGTGGTGGTGGTACACACCTTTAATCCCAGCACTCGAGAGGCAGAGGCAAGTTGGATGGATCTTCAAGAGTTCCAGGCCAGACTGGTCTACAAAGCAAGTTCCAGGATGGGCTCCAAAGCCACACAGAGAAACCTTGTCTCAAAAAAAGAAAGAAAGGAAGGAAGGAAGAAAGAAAGAGAGAGAGAGAGAGAGAGAGAGAGAGAGAGAGAGAGAGAAACTGTGGGTAGGTGGCAGGCAGGGAACAAAGCATGGCGCATCAAGGGAAAGGCAGCTGAATCCTCAAATTAGAACAAATTAGCACAAAGCAGGGATTGAGTTTCAGTCTCTGTGAATATAGCCTCTTGTTCTTGAAACTCTCACTGAAATACTTTTGACCTGAACAGAGGTGGTGAATACCTTTAATCCCAGCACTCAGGAGGCAGAGGCAGGTGGATCTCTGAGTTTGAGGACAGCCTGGTCTACAGAGTGAGTTCCTGAACAGCCAGGGCTACACAGAGAAACCCTTTTCTCAAAAGCAACAAAAGAAATGTATGTTTGGATGGATGGATTACTTGTGCTAGTAATCTCTTGACTATCTGAGAGGAATGCACTTTAGGCTCTTTTTTTTAACCAGTTGATCAGCTTATCCTATCTAATATACTTTCTTGGTGTCACGAACTTAGATTGAATCTTGAAGTCATAAAGTGGGTGTTCCAACTTTCTTTCTCAAAGGTAATTGCTTCCATTGTGTTGGTTCCTTGCCTTTCTGGGTACATTTTAGAATTAGTTTATTGGTTTCTACTCTCTCTCTCTCTCTCTCTCTCTCTCTCTCTCTCTCTCTCTCTCACACACACACCCACACACACACACACACACACACACACACACACACCCACAAACCCAGACATGTTGGTATATTGATTCAGATCTATAATTGCAGCACCTGGAAGGTAGAGGCAAAAGAATCAGGAATTCAAGGCCAATGAGTTCAAGGCAGCCTGAGCTATGCCAGACCTAGTCTTAAAAAAAAAAAAAAAAAAAAAAAAAAAAAAAAAAAAAAAAAAAAAAAAAAAAAAAAAGCAAAACAAGGGGGTGGGGAGGCTTTGTGAGTGATTGGTCTATCTTTGAGTATATCATCATTTTGGAAATACTGTCTTGGCACATTGAATCTTCAACCCATAAGGACGATGACCCAAAGGGTTGTGCCATCTTTGTTGTCCCCTTACCACTGTCTCAGAGTTTGCGGTAAGTGTGGCTTACACAGTTTTTTACTTGACTCAGTCTGAAAATCTTAGACTTCTTTCCCAGACTGATTATTGACATAGTCTTATTTGTCTTCCAGAAATGGAGGAAACAGCTGTGGCCAGTGCCATGACCATGGTTCCCAGCGATGAGCAGGCAGAGATAACCCTGGGGGAGGTCAGTCCACCTGCCCTGCTAAACCTTGGCTTCTTCTAGCCAGGAGGCAGCTCATCCTCCTCCAGCTCATTCTCCTCCAGCTCATCCTCTTCCAGCTCTAGCCAATACTCACAGGGGGCTCTTTCATCTGTCCAAAGTCAGACTAAACCTGTAGTCTCCAGACACCCGTGGTCTCAACTAGTACCAAGGTATCCCCTCTCTATGTTGAGAATAGGTAGGACCAGAGTAGCAGTGCCTGTTTCTTATGTGTGGCCCAGCTTAGAGAGGGCACCAACAACAAACCCTCCCTAGCTGAAACTCTCCTACACACACTGTGGGAGGAAGATACAGAGAAAGGTTCAGGCTGCCTTTCTTGCCCCCATCCAGGCAGACGGTTAGCCTTGGACAGGAATGGGATCTTTGAAACTCCAGGAGCTTGGAGGTGGAGTAGGGTGATAGGGACTTTGTGTATCCCATACACAAGATAGAAAAATTTAGGGAGTTCCTACCAAGCCCTTCCTGACTCTAAAGCTGGTGAAAAGGGCCAGGCCTCTGTGGCAGTCTGAGGGTCTGTGGAGAGCACACAGGCAGCTCACTGCTTGGATGAGCCTCCCAGCTCTGGCTCTGTTGGGGCTCCATAGCAGTAAGCACTCAAAGGTAGGGCCAACCTTAGAACTAATAACTGTATGTGACCAAATGGACACCCCAAGGACAAGGCCTTGCCACCACCCATCCTTGCAGTGGTGGCAAGAAAAGGGGCTAGTGGGAAATTCCCTAAGAAAAACATTGATGCCTATGTTCTGACCCCATGGCACCCTTCTTCTTACACAGGTAACAGAGGGAGAAATTGCCCCCTTCAGTTCCATCAAAGTGCCCATTATCTTCACCCCAGTTATTCCAGGAGAGGTCCAGACTAAGTTCAAGGTCATGTTTAAGAATCCAACGTGTCCAACGGTGAGTATCCCTGCTGCCACTTGATGTGACTAGTCCCCCCCACAGCCACATCAGACAGTTGCCCCTGGTGCCATGAGGTTTCCACTTGCTCACGCTGAAATCTTTAGTGGGTGGTATAAATGGTTGACACCTTAATAATAAACACACAGGTACACAAGAGTGTTTAGATGCTCGCTGGGGCAAACTGTTTTTTTTGTTTGTTTGTTTGTTTGTTTTTTGGTTTGGGGTTTTTTTTTTTTTTTTTTTTTGCCTTCTCTTCCCTCCACCCCCTGCCTTTTTTATAATGTTGGAGATAAAACTTAGAACCTTGAGCAAACAGTCTACCAATGAGCCTCACTTCAAGCTCTAGCTCAGTGTTTGGTATACAGGCCTGTGTATAAGTATTCATGTGTGTGGACATACATATGTGTACAAATGTGCATGTGTGCTTGTGTATAGAGGCCAGAGGTTGACATTGGGCATCTTTCTTGGTCATTGTATACTTTATATATTGAATCAAGGTCTCTCACTTGAACCAGAGCTCACTGATTCACTACCCTACCTAATACGTTTGCTTAAGAAATCCCTTGTCTTCTCCTGCATCCTGGGATTACAGGAGGGCCACTGTGCCCACCAGGCTTTTATATTTTTTCCCCAAGACAGGGTTACTTTGTGTAGCCTTGGTTGTGCTGGAACTCACCCTGTAGACCAGGCTGACCCACTGGACTTTTATGTGAGGTCTGGGAACCCAAATTCTGGTCCTGATGCTTACATAGCAAGTACTTTTCCCCCTTAAGCTGTCTCCCCAGCTCCCCTAACCCCCACTCTTTATTATTAGAAATATCTTTATTAGTTTATAAATTTATGTTTATTAAATTATGACCAGAGAAGATGACTGATTACTTGTGTAAATGCGAGTTTCCCAAGGATAGGTGAAGAAGCATTCTCAGGGGCTGCAGACATGGCTCAGTGGTTAAAAACACTGGCTGTTCTTGCAAAGGACCCACCTAGGTTTGATTCTCAGCACCCACGTAGTGGTTCACAACTATCTGTAACTCCAGTTCCAGGGGATCTGGCGCCCCCCTTGTGACCTCCATAGGCAATGCTGCACATGTTGTACAGACATATATGCATGCAGACAAAACACTCATACACATAAAATAAAAATAACTAAGCTGGGCAATGGTAGCATATGGGAGACAGAGGCAGGTAGATCTCTGAGTTAGAGGCCAGCCTGATCTACAAGGTGAGATCCAGGGCAGCCAAGGATACACAGAGAAACACTGTCTTTTTTGTTTAAATATTTTAAATTTTTATTTATTATGTATATAGTGTTCTGTCTACATGTATGTCTGCACGCCAGAAGAGGGCATCAGATTTCATTATAGACGGTTGTGAGCCACCATGTGGTTGCTGGGAATTTGAAAAAACAGGCAGTACTTTATTTTTAATTAACATGTTTTACATTGCAATACATATGTTACATTATGTTACAAGCCGTCCACAGCTTCCCTTCCCTTCTCCCTCCACTCACATCTCCCCTCCACATCCGCTCCTCCCCAGTCTCCGTTTAGAAAGGGGCAGGGCTCCCGTGGGCTTGAACAAAGCACAGCACATCAAGTTGGGGTGGGAACTGAGTCCTCCCCACCCCCAAGCCTAAAGGCTGGGCGAGGTAATCCAGCAGGGGGAACGGGTCAGGCAGTGCTCTAACTCTGAGCCATCTCTCCACCCCCAGAGAAACCCTGTCTTGAAAAAACAAAAAAAGAAAACAAGTCAATAAATAAAGAAGCAAACAAGGAGTCTGGAGAAATGGCTCAGTGGCGAAGATCTCTGGCTCTTTTTCCAAAGGACTGGGGTTCAATTCCCAGCACTCACACGATGGCTCACAAACCTCTGTAACTCCAGTTCAAAGGTACCCTACACCCTCACATAGGCGTACATACATGTAAGACACCAATGCACATAAAATAAAATTAAATTAGTAGAACAAACAAAAAGTCTGGGTGGTGGTGGCGCATGCCTTGGAGGCAGAGGCAGGTGGATCTCTGTGAGTTCAAGGTCAGCCTGGTCTACAAGAGCTAGTTCCAGAACAGCCTCCAAAGCCACAGAGAAACCTTGTCTCGAAAAACCAAACCAAACCAAACCAAAACGAAACAAACAAACAAACAAAAAAAAAAAAGAACGATTCTCTGAAGTGTGGATAATTTTTATTAAGGGTGACCTACAGAGTGGTGGGGACTCAAAACAGTTGCTCTACCCAAGTCCTGCTACCTCTGAACTACATTTGTCTTTCATCTGTATGCAGCATGCAGTTGGGGATGTTAATTGAATTGAAACGGGTAAACTAAACTCAAAGGCTTCACTTCTAATAATTTAGAAATGAAGGGACCAGACCCTCACTCAGCCTCTGCTTTAGCAGCCATGACAGGATACAGAAAAGACACATAGGCCTCTAATACAAGGAAACTCCAGATCTTCTGGCCTCCCAGAGCCTAAGGCCAAAACTGAACACATAGAAACTCCAGACTCTCCAACCCCACCCCGCCGACACCCACACCCAACCTCCACACCTCCCACAACCCTCCACTCCCCGCCCCCACACTGCCGCACTAGCCTCCTAGGTACTTGGTTCCCGGGAACTGTTTGGCCACAAAAGAAACTCCAGGGGAGACCAAAACCTTCCCTATAGTCTCCAGGATACAGTTATAAAAAAAAAAAACTATTAGTATCTATGAACAACAGGCCACCTGCAAGCAACAAGACAAAGCCATAGAAACCACAGAATGCCCCCTCTCAGCACTGACCAATGAGAATACCTGGTACACAGGTATTTCATGCCAAAATATGACTTTGAGAAATTTTCCTGATTGTTCCCAAATGTCAACCAATCAGAAACCAACCCGTATCTACGTATGTAATCCTGTAACTTTTGTCTTTAAAACCTAGCAGTAGGGGCTGGAGAGATGGCTCAGAGGTTAAGAGCACTGACTGCTCTTCAAGAGGTCCTGAGTTCAATATCCAGTAACCACATGGTGGCTCACAACCATCCATTATGAGATCTGGTGCCCTCTTCTGGTGTGCAGATATACATGGAAGCAGAATGTATTACATTTAATAAATAAATAAAATATTTAAAAAAAACCCTAGCAGTAGACAAGGAACCTCAACCCTCTGGAGGCTGCTGCATCAGCTTGCTAGACGGGGTTCCCTCCCTCAGAAGGATAGACAATGATGCATTTGCATCAGTGGTCTGTCTCCCTGGTCTCTTTGGGGATCCTTGTGACTCGGGCACAACAAAATCACCTAAACATTAGTTGTTTTGAGTGAACCTGCCCAGAAGAAATGTTAACAGTATCAATGTCCATCTCCCCATCAGTTTGATATATGGTTTGTATATGTTCTTACCTCAACTGCTGGCCAGGGTCTTTTGTCCAAAATAAGGACGCCAGAAAACCAGTGATCTGTCTTTTTATATTAATTTATCACATAAATTAATTGATTGATTTATTAAAAGTGTTTAAAGTTTTCTTTGTGACCAGAGGCAATGTTTGTCTTGAAATGACGAGTAACTTCGAGAAAGGTATCTTTGTTTGGAAGCTGTAAAAAATTTAGTAACAGGGTTACTTGCCTCCTGTTCCTTATATGACATCCATCCTTCCTGGAATGTTTTCATTTCTAGATGTCAAGCCTTATAGAGCAGCTTTACTGGTTGGTACACGAGGGGCTGCATGCTTCTTCAGTTTGAGTTGTGCCTTCCACCAAACCCAAATATCCTTGGTCCCTCCATTTCGTAGTCACTTTTTTATTCTCTTTCCCTCTTTGGCTTTTTGTTTGTTGGAGTGGAGTTGTTGTTTTTTATTGTTGTCTTGAGAAAAGGGCCCATTTCTATATTTTCTGTTTCCTGGGAGAACTTTGCATACTAACAAAGCCAAGAACTCGTTGCATTTGGTATCATTCCTCCCGTCACAGGCTGTGTTCATATATTTTACAATGATGTTACCTGTTTTCAGTTTTCTTTGTTCTCAGTCTACTCAAGTTAATTGTATTTTCCATGTGGTACATGAAAAACTTTTTTTTGTCATATCTTCCTCCATCCTGGCCTTACAATTCCACAAATTTCTCATTTTCATGTAGAAAGAGAAAGTTCCTTCAAAACCCCCATTTCCCAGGAACATACCCCAACATGTTCTGATAACCAAAGCAGAATGCTATTTCTGCACCTCTTTTGTTTTCTCCTGCATCATCCTTGGCACCTGTCATTAGAATTATGGGAATCTTCCCCCTGCTGGGCGTTTGTAGGCAGTGCAATCACTGCTGGTCCAGATTCCATCACTGGTTGTTTTGTACTAAGCACCACCTGTTTCCACTCTGTATCAGGAACTCTGCTCTGACATGTTTTCTTGGGTTATTTTGGAGTGAACAGAAGCAAGTAGTATATAAACTCTGGGTAATTCAAGATATGAATAATTATTCATAACATAGCATCAAAAGCTAGACATTATCCCACATGAATCTGTGTTAAAGACCAGAGATACCAGGTCTCACAACAACCTGTAGTACCAACAGCATCCACAATACAATTGGTGCTTGTCTTAGGTGGGGTTTCTATTGCTTCCATAAAACACCATGACTGAAAAGCCAGTTGAGGAGGAGAGGGCTTATCTGTCTTATACTTCCATATCACTGTTTATCTTTGAAGACAGGACAGGAACTCAAACAGAGCAGGAACCTAGAAGCAGGAGCTGATGCAGAGGCCATGGATGGTTGCTTCTTACTGGCATACTTCCCATAGACTGGTCAACCACCAAGCCCTGGAATGGCACCACTCACAATGGGCTGGGCCCTCCCCCATGAATCACTAACGAAGAAAATACCCTACTTGCTCACAGTGGATCTTCTGGAGGCATTTTCTTAATTGAGGCTCCCTCCTCTCAGATGACTTTGGCTTGTGCTAAGTTGACATAAAACAACCCAGCACAGTACTCAAGAACCTACAGTTTCATAGTGATCACAGTACTCATATTCTTGTAATTCCCACAGTATCCATTGGGGATTACATTATCGTCGCTGTATCCAAACAGCCACCATAAGCAACTTTAGGGAGGAACTATTTTGTCTTGGTTTGGGGATGCACTCCACGTTGCTGGGGAAGGTGTGGTGGCAGACGTGTAAAGTACACAGTCACATTGTAGTCAGAAAGCAGGATGAATGCTAGTACCCTGCTGGCTTCTCAGTTTCCCTTTTTTACTCAATCTGGGACCTCAGTCCTCAGGTCAATCCCAGCTGTATTCGGGGTACAGTTAAGCTCAGTTAAGCATCTCTGGACAGGACCTCTCTAATCCTGGTTGTCTTGGAACTCAAATTCACAGATATCTGCTAGCCTCTGTCTCCCAAGCGATGGGATTAAAAGTGTGTGCCACCACACCCTAAATCAGCTGGATATTTTGAGCACCAAATTTGATAATGTTTTGCTACCAGTATACCTATGTATCAATCTGCCTTTTACCTTCGCTTACTATTCACTTCATAAACTCATTCAAAACCAGAAGTATGACTATTATCATTCTCTGGATTCTGCAGAATAGGGTAAGCATGAAAAACATCACAAGATTCTTCAACACATGCCATGATTAATTGTTAACCTCATACTTGTAATGCAGTAAGTTAAAAAAAAAATACCAAGCCATGAAACCTTTTACTAAGTATTGTGTTAACACTCACCGGTGTCTCCTACATTGCAAAGTAAGCATATGCTGAGTTTATGTGTTCCACTTCAGTTATATTTCAGAGCCACTGGTATTGCTATTGATGTGCCAGTCTGGGTGCCAAGGACCATGGTGGACCTGAAGATCTGCATGTATGACCGACTCTACCAAGACTCTATCATTGTCCACACGAGGTGAGCCCTATGGTGGCCAGCAGGAGTGTCATGGCTGGAGCTGGCTACATACTGGCTCTGAATGGTCACCTTGGGTGGCAGAGGACTGGGCTGTTGATTAGGCTATGGATCTTGAACAAAGTAATCCTGAATAACCAGGAGACCCCAGTGTTGCCAAGGCACTGTAGAGAAACCCAGGAGAGTCAAGGACAGAGACAGAGCTGAAGATGAAGGAAGGGACTGCAGACACCTACAGAACACCAGACACCTAAAAGGGCAAGATCCCCTGTGATCTCCACAAGGAGATGGTAATCCTGACCTTCAGTCTAGTTAGTCCCACTTTGGCCTTTTGTCCTCAGAGAATTAGTTTATAATTGTCAGGTCTGCATTTGTGAAAACATTGCAGCAGCCATAGCAGAGACACTTGCTGTATGCCTGGGGCACTCGGCAAGGGTCCAAGTGCCTTCAAAAGTATAGAACACAGCAGCAACATGGAGAATAGACAAAGCCCAGCAAAATAAGTGTTTTACAAAGACATCAAAGCTTAGATTACAAGCATTTTCCTTCAAGTACAACTTGAGATAGGAGCATCCCAGGTTTCATGACTTCATCAGCTTTGAGCCACTAGTCCCCAGACCATCGAATCCCTGTCACTACCCCTTCACAAACCACTAGTCCCCAGACCATCAAACCCCTGTGGCTAGCCCTTCACACATGACCTGGGAGAACAGCACTCCAGGTTTCCACTAGGCTTTGTCTTGCTCCATAAAGAGGGAGCCACTAGATGTCCCCAAACTCCTCCCTGGGAACCAGAGAGCTACAAGATGACAGTGCACTGTCAAAGTCAGGGGAGAGTGTGGGGCTTGGAGGAGTGGCTTGCTGTGCTTGTCTGGGAGAGTACGCAGGTACTCTCCTACCAGTCCTTCCTGGTCACGCAGAGAAGGAATCAAAAGGAGTCAAGGAATTTTATCATTCTTACCCAAAGCACCCAGTTGTCAGTACAAATGTGTTTAGTAACCTTTAAGCCCAGTATCATTTTTAACTTTGTTTGTGTGGTTTTACCTGCGTGAGTGTAGAGAGGTATTGGTGTGTGAAGACCATTTGTTGTCTTGTGCCCAAGAACCAATGTTAGTCACTGTGTACAAACAGTGGATCTGACAGGCATGTCTCCAAGAACCCCAAGTGGCTGCTTTCCATGGTGTTCTGGATCCCGAGCAGCAGAGGCTCAGGGCCCTGGTCAACTGTAGTGGTGGATAATTGTAGGGGCCTAGAGGCAGGTCAGAGGTCACCACAACTCTGGTAACCATCTGGGCTCTGGTGATCATCCAAAGAGCAGGAGACAGGCAGGAGGCTTTTCCCTCTGTCTGCACTTGGTCCTCCCTCATGGACTCCCAGCGGTATCCATGCACTTGTGGTCCCTCCCAGAAGATCTGGCTACTTCCCTCAGAGTCCCTCATAACCTTCAGTGTCCACGGTGTGACTTTATTGTTCCATCTTTGGATCACTGTGGACCCAGGGCCATATTTGAGCAGAGGTCTATCTAGAAGACCATGGGCTGCAGAGCATAGCCAACCACAGAACAGACAAGGATCATTCTAGAAGGCACTAGAAGGCTCTGGAAGGTTCTAGGACTATTGCCAATGATCCCAGGCAAACCAGGGAAGAATTCCCTGGGCCTCCCTCTTCAAGTTACCTTTTCTCTTCCTTTGGTTAAGAAATAATTCTTCCTATGGGAACTAAAGGAGACTCCCACAGGGAGCAAGCCAGGAGTGTCCTCCAGGGCTGCCTTAAAAGGGACACAGCTATTGCCACTGCCTTCGGCAGATACCTCATTTCAGGACAGGGAGAGAAGAACCTCTTTTAGAGACAAGGAGACACAGGTGGGCCCTGATGACAGGATACAGACATGTCTATTCTTCCCCTGCCTGGTTCTGAGTTATAAACTTGTGTCAATGGTTAACACCTAGCCATCCAGGGCCTCCCAAACTTCCTCTAAAGAATGCTGGGTGGGAAGAAGCCAGACCCCATAGGTGCAAGCCATCCTTCACACCCCTTCCAGGCTCCCGTGCCCACCCAGTAGCTGCCTGCATCACTCCTTCCCATAACGCATTCTAGTCTGATAACTGATTTGGGCACATCTCAACTCCAATTTTTATTGTTTGTATTTTAAATTTTTTCCAAGCTGGGTATGTTGCATATGTCTATAAACTCAGCACTCAGGAGGTTGAGGCAGGGCAATTGTGAGTTCTATAGTTCAGCCCAGAGCTATATATAGTGAGACCCTGTCTTTAAAAAAAAATTCAGAGCCAGCAGAAAGGCACTTGCTGCTAAAGCCTGAAACTGAGTTCAAAAATTCCCAGAACCCACAAAAATATAGGTGAGAACCAATTCTGCAAAGTTCTCCACACGTGTCCTCTAGCCTCCACACATGCAAAGTACTCAAGTGCATTGTGACTGTGCACATGTACACACACATGTACACCATGCATTCATATAATAATTTTTTATTTTTTTTTAAAAAATGTGTTGTAGCCAGGTATCATGTGGCAAGCACCTTTAAAATCCCAGCACTTTGGAGGCAGAGGCAAGAGGATCTCTGTGAGTTTGAGACCAGCCTGCTCTATATTGCAAGCTCCAGGCACGCTGGCCCTATCATTAGAAATACCTTAATGGGTCAAAGGATTAAGCATGCAAAGCCACCTATGACCTCTTGCAGATCAAAAGCAGCCCTGCGCCTGAAGTTTGAAGTCTGCAAGGAACTGAGAGGCCACATAGAGCTTCTGCCAGAAACAGGCTACATCCAGGCCCAGTCCACTTACTCAGTACAGCTCAAGTTCTTGCCTAGGTGAGAACTGGGAAAAGCCCGGAGCATGATGGGAGGTGGTGGGGTCCCTGGGTGCCTTGTGCTGATCACTCTTCTGGACACACACATCCAGGAGGTACCACCTGCCAAGGTAAGAACACCCTGACCCTCCATGCATGGGCCCCACCTTGGCTTCTGTGCCCCGCCCAGCGGGGCACCATGGGAGCTCACACCCCGATGTGTTACAGCACCAGAGTACCTGGAATGATGGGTCAAAGAGACACAAGAAAGGGACAGCAAGACAGGCTTTCTGATCAAGCTGCAAAATTTTATTTTTCTTAGAAACCTTATATAGCAGGTGAAGCAGGAAGACTTGTTGGGGCGGGTAGAGGTTATTTACCTGGCCCTCAGGAAGAAGCCTTTGATCGTGTATGTGAGTCCTTGAAGATAGACAGGAAGGGCAAATAGGGGGTGCAGGTGCAGATAAGGCAGGATAGGGGGGGCAATCAGAGGGATGCAAACCCAACAGGTTGTTAGTAAGATGAAAAGGTCGAAAAGGTCGCAAAAGTCGCAGGAAGAAGGGTTGCTAAGAAGCCTGACTATGGAATGTTTGCTATCAGCTATTCCTGTTTGCCCAAGCTCTATTCATTTGGGGAAGGGGAGAGGTAGATTGGGACTGAAGTTAGCTATTCTCTCAACATAATGAGTTACTCATGCTGACAATCTTTACAAGAGATTCTCTGAAGCAGCCCAAGTCTCTTTTCAGGGCTAAGCTTACCTTTGCCATGGCTCCCGGCACTTCTGTTCAGACACTCCTGTGAGACTGTCATCTCTTTCTGCTGCTCCCCGAGGTTCTGAGTCAGGTTGTAGCAAACACTTGAAGGGAGCTTGTTTCTTTGCCTTTATCCCACAGCTCTGTAACGTTCCCCTGCCACTCAGCTCTCCCTGTATCTTCCCTGTCCAAAGCCCTTCTTGGGTCTTGCCATCAAGGGTGCCTGCATAGCAGTTATTCCAGGCTGTTTTGATATGTTCTTTGGCTTCTGCCTTTCCTAGGACAGACTTTGAATAATTCACTTCAGCTTTTCTGGCGCTTTGGCAACTAAAAGTCTTGATTTTCACTTCATCTGCTCGGTTGCCCTAAGTGACCCTTGGTTCCTGGTATGGGGCCTATTTTCCAGGCTAAGTTCTAGATCCTGGGCTGTCAACAGAGTTTGGACCAGAGAAGTAGGCTGGGGATAAGGTGGCTTTAAAACCTGACCTGCTTCTGGGTCTTTCATGGTGAATTCCCCATCATGGTAACAGGGGACTCTTTCCTTTGTACTTTAAAATTTTTTTCTAAAATTATACTAATTCTTTTTTTTTATTTCCATTTGTTTTCAAGATAGGGTTTTTCTGTGTAACAGCTCTAACTGTCCTAGAACTTGCTCTGTATCCCAGGGTGACCTTGAACTCAGAGATCTGCCTGCCTCTGCCTCCCGAGTGATGGGACTACAGGAGTACGCCACCACTGCCTGGCCACTCATTCTTTTTGTAATCAAAAAATAAACTTTTTTGAGACAGAGTCATAACCATGTAGCCCAGCCTGGCCTACCTTACGATCTTCTGGCCTATTGTAGGTATGTAGCGAACTTTTGTTGTTGTTGTTCAGTACTGGGCACGGAACCCAGGGTCTTCTGCTCTACACCTGAGGCAAGGCACGGTCCATGAGAAACCTGCTTTTAGACTGATTTTTCAAAAAGGATTTTTAAGGATCCCTTCAAGTGATAGACTCCTTATCATGTTATTGATTTTAGTCTTTAAAACTTATTATTTTGGACTAAAGAGATGGCTCAGCAGGTAAAAGCACTTGCCTCCAAGGCTGACAACATGAGTTCATGAACCAGGATCCACATGGTAGGAGAGAACAAACTCTTGCAAGTTATCTTCTGCCCCTCATGTATAAACAGTGGGATGTGTAGTCCCCAAAACAAATACATTTTTAATTTCATTGTAAAATTATGGTTGCCTACATTTATGAGATAAAATATGATGTCTTGATACACATTCACACACACACACACACACACACACACACACACACACAGAATATGGCATAATTAAACCAAGGTTTTTCATTTGGGTTTTTAGTTTTTGAGACAGGGTCATACTATACCAACCAGACTGGTCTCAAGTCACAGAGATCCTCCTGCCTCTGCCACTAAAGTATGTTGATTAAAGGCATGCGATACATCTGGCTAAGCCAAGCTTATTAACATTCTTTTTTAAATTTTTTATTGAAAATATACTGTTCTCGCATACAGTACATCCCAGTCACAGTTTCCCCCCCTCCACTCTTCCCAGCTCCTCCACCTCTCCTCTCCCCCAGATCCACCCCTCCCCACTCTGTTTCCTCTTAGAAAAGAATGTGCCTCTAAAAGAAAACAGCCAAGCAGAACAAAACAAGATACAGTAAGACAAGACAAAAGCCCTCAGATGGAGACTGCACAAGGCAACCCTGTAAGGACTCAGGCATTTGTCACCTGGCAGAGCACACTCAGACAGTACCCTGGTCAGCCCAGGGTTCCGTGATTGCGTAGTCTGCACACAGGTGCAAAGGGACCCCTTTAAAAGAAAGACCGCAGCCCACTTATGCTCCCTTCTCTTTCTGCTCAGTCCCTCTTCTCTTTTCCGCTCTCTTCTTCCCACGCTCCTCTCTTTCCCGCTGTCCCCCTGGGGCAGACAGGACTTTTCCTGTCTCCTCCTCCTCTTCTGTCCCTCTCTGTCTCTGTGTCTTTTCACCTCTTTTCTCTTTCCTTCCCCCGCCCTTCCCTTTCTAATAAAACTTCTTGCTTAAGCTCTGTCTGCCTGGCATGTTTGTCCCTCTGCCTTGGCCGCCCTCACCTGTCATGGAATCTGCCAAGGGTCTCCACATGCTTTATTCCTAACAAATCCAAATAGGAGGGAAAGAGTCTCAAGAGCAGGCAAAAGAGTCAGAGATACACCAGCTCCCACTGTTCGGAGTCCCACAAAAACACCAAACCATCAGACATAGCATATCCACAGAGGATCTGGTGCAGGCCCTGTGCTTGCTGGCTTCAGTTTCTGTGAGCCCTTGTGAGCCCCGATTAGTTGATTCAGTGGGCCATTTAATTGCAGGACATTTACTTTTTAAAGTTAGTATACAAAGTAATGGGTTTCCTTACATCATATTCATACATGTGCCATTATACCGTGTTCTCATTCATACTTGCCCTTCAATTTTAGAACAGTTTTATTGCACACAATATAAAGAAGGAAAATGTATTCAAGTGGATCCTACCTCTTGCAGACACTCCCTCCCAGAAGACGCAGGAAAGTATTTTGACCCAGACAGTCGTGTTCTGGAGGCTCCGATGACAATCTGGGTGGCTGATCAGGTCTGTACAGGACACTTTCTGGGAATCTTACGCACTGCTAGGAAACAGGTGGGAGCTGTGGGAGGCCAAATCCTGTGTCCCCAATGACAATACCCAAAGAGGTAGAACCCTGATTTCTGAACCCATACTCACTTTCGAGCTGGTGATATCCAGTGGCCTGACAGGCAGCTTTGCCTCCTGTCCACACAACCCCGACACAGTATGAAAGAGAGGAGGCACTTGTGGGTCAGAAGGAAAGTCTTATTCTGGTCCAAGCAGGCTGGCTCAGATACCTCACCCACGTATGCACACAAGAAATATGCCTATGGGGCTGGAGAGATGGCTCAGCGGCTAAGAGCAATGGCTGCTCTTCCAGAGGTCCCAGGTTCAATTCCCAGCACCTATATGGAAGCTCACACCTGTATATAACTCCTGTTCCAGGGGATCTGACACCCTCACACAGACATACATGTAGGCAAAACACCAATGTACATAAAATACAAATAAATTATTAAAAAAAGAAATGCACCTACACAGTTGAACTCAGATACACAGATGAACGCACCACACACACACATAGATATGCATATTATGCCCTCGTCTACATGAGCTCACATATGCATATGCTTACAAACAGTGTGTCCACACGTAATCACAGGCCACATTGCCACATCTGACTGATGCTTTAGACTTCTGCCTGCATGCCTCCTCTAACCACCACCATGGAATTCTGGCTCAGATGCTGCTCCTTTATTAGGAGACACTGAGCAATGGTCTTATTGAGAAACTCGTCTTATGGAAATAGTATGGTGTTGGCCAAAAGGCAGCAGAATTGCCTTTATTATTTGGGGGCTTTTGCACAAATCTTCTAGTGGCTGGGAATGTTCTTTGCCTTTTGCTCCTTAGATCAAACCAGTGGGGTTCACTGTCCAAGCCATTGTCACCACCTCGGACTTGGAAATCAGCCCCGAAGAAATAAACTTTGGCTACTGCACCATCTATGAGGCTATCAGGACAGAAATCAGCCTCAGCAACCACTCCCTGCTGCCGCAGGAGTTTGGGTTCGTTGGACTTCCAAAGGTACCTGCTCTGGTCATCCCTGGGGCCATGGAGCAGGAATAACAGCTGCTATCCAGGCCCAGGCATCAGCAACTCTGCTGCCCTGTACCCCGCCCAGTTGACCCTCTCCTTGTCCTTGATATCCCCCTCCCTGGCCTCTCATTTTTCTAGACTCTTTCCCTGCCAACCTTCCCTGGACAAGCCCCACAGGACAATCTAAGAGCATGCCCAGACTGCCATCAGCCCTTCCTAGACTGTCCCTATCCACCCACACACACCCAGCTTACATACCCACGTGCTCAGTAAGGTTGAGCGCCCACACACACACACATGTCTCATACTCTCAGACCCTCCATGTGCTCCCAAACTGGCGTGTTCACATGTCACTTCCCCAGCAAGGTACACAGTTTCCTACCAGCTAGCTACTCTACAAAGTTTTTCACTTTGACTCTGTCCCCATTTCCCAGTATGTGGACATCCAGCCCAATGATGGGTTTGGGTCGATCTTGCCACTGGAAACTTTGCAACTTGATGTGATCTTTCAGCCCTTGAAGGCCAAGGAATACAGATTTGAACTGATCTGCAAATCCGAAATAAACCGGTAAGCCTGCTAGGCAGAGAAGGCGCATGACCACCATGCAGTCCTTTCCTCAGATCCCACTGGGTGACCTCAGGGCTGGGGTGGACAGCACTAGTGGTCAACAGGAGCCCAAGACCCAGAAATAGATAGGTCCATGTGACCTTCCACTTTGCCCTTGTACATGAGGAGATTAGGAAATAATGAGCTGGTGAACATGAGTATCGTGAGCACGAGTATCTGTGTGTGTGTCAGTACATTGTGAAAAGTATCTTGGTGTAAGTATTCATATACGTGATTCACTGTCAAGGCTTGAAATATGCCATTCCTTGCCTTCCTGAGTTTCTGCTTGGAGGTCTAGTGTTATTCCAGTGTGTTTGCCTTTGAGAGTTGGTATCTTGGGCATAGCTCAGTTGGTAGAGCGCCGCTTCACATGCTTGAAGCCCTGGATTTGATCCCCAGCATCGCATGAAACAGGTGAGGAATAAGTGCCTATAATACCATCATATGGGCGTTAGAGGCAGGAGAGTAAGAGTGGAAGTTCTTTGGCCATGTAATGTGGTTGAGGCCAGCTTGGGCTACATAAAACCTGCCTCAGAAACCCAAAACAAACAAACAAAAACCCCTTCTTAGAGTGAGAGAAATGGCTCAGCAGTTAAAGCACTTACTGTTCTTGCAGAGGACATCGGCTCAATTCCCAGCACCCACATGGTTGCTCACAACCATCTGTAACTCCAATTCCAGACAAGCATGCCTTCTCTGGCCTCCTCACACACACGGTACACATAAACTTATACAATTGAGCATGTACACAAGTGTACACATACATTTTTAATTTCAAGATTTGATCTAGGTGCAGGGGATCATGCCTTTTTGTTTCCCCAAGAGATTTTTTTTTTATTAGTTCAAATGCCTTTAATCCCAGCCCTCAGCAGGCAGATCTCTGTGAGTTCGAGGTCACCCTGGTCTATATAGTGAATTCCTGGCCAGACAAGGCTACACAGTGAGACCCTGTTTCAAAAACAAAACAAAAAAGTGTTTGAGAGCTGTGGGGATGGCTTGGTGGGTAAAAGAACTTGCTTTGGAAGGGTCGGATCTGAGTGTGAATCCCTAGATCCCACACAAAGCTCAGTGACATACATGTGGGACCCAGTGCTCCTGTGACAAACTGGAAGGTAGAGACAGTAAAACCCTTGGAAAACTCAAGGGCCAGCTGTCCTGACACACAGCAGTGAACAACAACAAAAAGAGAGACCTTTGGACTGATAAAATAGATCACTCAGCCTGGAAATCTGGTAGAAGGAGAGATCTTGTATTCACAATACACATTCATGCCACACATATACAAACATGCTAAATAAATATAAAGAAAAAATTAAATAAAAAAAGAGATCTTACCTCAAAACAAGGCAGAAGGTAACAACCAACTTCTAAAGCTGTCCCCTGACCTCTACCCTTGCACTATAGCACACGTAGCATGCACTTATACAATACAAACACATATATCATATGTACACATATATACATGCATCAAACACACACAAACTGAAGAAAAGATAGTTTTTAACTTAGGTAGTGGCACAGGCCTGTAATCGCAGCATTCTGGAAGCTGAGGCAGAAAGATCAAGTTTGAGGTCATTCTGAGCTATATAGTGAGCTATAGGCCAGCCTAGTCTATATAAAAAAGAAAAGATTCCAGGAAGTTTTCGTTGTCATACATTATGTGTGGTGGTATTTTGTTTATCATCTAACAAATAAAGCTTGCCAGAAGATCAGAGTGCAAAGCTAGCCACACAAGTTAGCCACAGAGGCTAGGCAGTGGTGGTACAAACATTTAATCCCAGCACTCGGGAGACAGAGGCAGACAGATATCTGATAGTTCAATGCCACCCTGGGCTACATGAAATTGATCCAGTCTAAAAGAGAAACAGAGCTCACACAAAGGTGATCTCAGCACTGAGGAGGTGGAGACCAGAAGGCACATGGCTGAGCACAGAGAGGACTATAGGGGAGAGAAGATGGGAGCTCATGGCCGTCTGGGCAGTCTGAGGACAGGATCATCCCTTTGGTCTGAGGCAGAGGCAGGAGCTAGAGTTTGACTGTTTCTCTGATCTTTCAGCTCTCCCCCACTAATATCTGACTCCCAACTTTTTATTATTAAGACCAATTAGAATTCTTGTTACATTTATGCATTCATTCAATTAAATAATAATGATCCATCTACCCCAAAATACTAACTTACAAGTTTGAATATTTGAACATCTGAACATATTTTGTCTATGTGTGGGTGGGTTTGTGTGCACAATTGGGTGACTGTGTGGGCATGCACATGTGTGTGTGCCTGTGGAAGTCAAAGATCTTTGTGTGTTGTTCCTCGGGCACCTTCCGCTATCTCTTTATGACAAGGTTGCTCACTGGCCTGGAACATTGCCAAGCAGGCCAGGCTAGCTCTCTAGCAAACTTGTAAAGAACTGTTTCCCCCTGCCATCTCACAACTGCTGGGATTATAAGTATATGCCACTGTGCCAGATTTATATATGTGCTCTAAGGACTGAAGTCGCATCTGTGTACTTACAAGACAGGTGTTTTACCAAGTGAGCCATCTCCCCAGCCCCTGAACACATTTCTGTTATAGGTGAGATTTGATAGGATCAGCCATGTCCTTGTCTAAAGCATTAAAAATACACGTGATGGGGCTGGAGAAAGGGCTCAGCAGTTCACAGCACTGGCTGCTCTTCCAGAGGACCAGGGTTCAATTTCTAGCACCCACATGGTGGCTCACAATGGTCTACAACTCCCATCCTAGGGAGTTTTATGCCCTCTTTGACCTCTACATGCACTGCAGTCATAAACTTAAAATGAACCCTTAAAGCCAGGCAGTGGCAGTGCACGCCTTTAATCCCAGCACTTGGGGTGCAAAGGCAGGCAGATCTGAGGGTTCAAGGCCAGCCTTGTCTACAGAGTGAGTTCCAGAATAGCCAGGGAGACACAGGGAAACCCTGTCTCAATAAATAAATAAATAAATAAATAAATAAATAAATAAATAAATAAATGTAAGTGGATGTTTCTTCCGACCCACCAGTTCCCAAACAAACACATTGAGGCTTAATATTAATTATACATGTTCGGCCAATAGACCAGGCTTATTAATCACTAGCTCTTACAACTTAGATTAACCCATTTCTATTAATCCACACATTGCTGCGTGGCTTGTGGCTTTACCTGACCTCCAGCATGTCTTAGCTCCCTCTGTGTCTCCTGGTGACTCCACTGGCTCTGCTCTTCTTCATCCCAGCATTCTTAGTTTGGTTGTCCTGCCAGCATACCCTTCCTGCCTGGCTATCGGCCAGTCAGTTCATTATTAACCAGTGAGAGTAATAAATATTCACAGTGTACAAAGGATTTTTCCACAGCAGATAAACCTTTAAAGCAATACATGTGATGAGTGCAGAGTGAAACTGAACAGTTAAGCTCTTTCCTAGCAGGCACGGAGGACTTAGATTCAATCCTCAGCATAGGGAAAAAAATAATAAAAGTTGATGAGGAGAGTGTAGTGAACATAGGAGTACAGGAAAAGCATAGAATGGCTGGAGAGATGGGTCATCAGTTAAGAACTCTGGCTGCTCTTCCAGAGGACCCAGGTTCAATTCCCAGCACCCACACGGCAGCTCACAACTGTCTGTAAATCCAGTTCCAGGGGATGTGACACTCTCACACTAATGCACATGAAGTAAACATTTAAATAAATTATATAAATAAGAAAAGCATAGGATGTAAAGCTTCCAATGGTTAAAATAACCAACTACCTGGGGTTAAAATTAAAGCTCAATTGGTAGAGTGCTTGCCTAACATGCACAAAATCCTAAGTTCAATACCCATCACCCCATAAATAAGACATGGTGAAACACACCTGTTATTCCAGCACTCAGGAGGTGTGGAAAGGAGGATTTTAACTGTCAATAAATATTTAACGTAATAGGCCAGAAATCAACTCCTTTTACTACATTTTTCTTTTCTTAAAATGTTTATTTTTAGCCAAGCGGTGGTGGCACACGGCTTTAATCCCAGCACATGGGAGGCAGAGGCAGGCAGCTCTCCCGGCTCAAAGCCAGCCTGGTTTACAAGGCGAGTTCCAGAACAGCCAGGGCTGTTACACAGAGAAACCCTTTCTCAGAAAACACAAAACATAACAAAAACAATGTATTCACATGCATGTGGTTTGCTTGCTTGTCTGAATATGCACTGTGTACATACAGGTACCCACAGAGGTCAGAAGAGGACTTTGCTCCCCTTGAATTGGAGACACAGGTGGTTTAAGCCCCCATGTGGGTGCCAAGAACTGAACCTGGGTTATCAGCAAGAACAGCCTGTGCTCTCAGCCTCTAAGCTAGTGGGAGGGGTTGCATGTAAAATGTTTACATTACAATTCATAACAGTAGCAATGAAGTAGCAATGAAAATAACTTTATGGCTGGAGGGTCACCACAACATGAGGAACTGTATTAAAGGGTTGAAGCATTCGGAAGGTTGAGAACCACTGCTCCAAGCCATCTCTTAACCCTGCAACCCTTATTTTTTAAAGCAACTTACAAGTTTTTACTCTGTTTATATAATTTTGCTTATGTACTTCCCCCACATTGGTTAACCAGGTTGCAAACAGCTGGATGACTGCGGTAATAAGTCTTGGTTGGGCACCTGGGGCATCATTAGCTCAACAGGCCTGCCCATCACCCTTAGCACGTGTGGAGCTGCAGCTCCTGCACTCAGGGTTGCAGAGGGGCCACAGATGCCATGGCGTAGAATGACCACCACCCGCACTGGTTGCTTTCAGGTGCTTCAAGGTATCTTGCCAAGCAGTAGGTGTCCACCCACCCCTGGAGCTGTCCCACTACCAGATCAAGTTCTCGGCCACTGCCCTGTATGGCACCACTGTGTCCACACTCTATGTCATCAACTCTCACCTGAGCATGAACAAACTGATCCTCTCCTTGCCACGAATTGGGTCAGAGGAAGCCGCCCCAGTGGGGCCAACATCCTTTGAGTTCTTGCTGCCCCCTAATCTGCCCATCACCATCTCACCGTCCGTGGGGACTGTTTTACCAGGAAAGGTGAGCATGGGCCCCACCAACAGGCTCGGAGGCAGAGCTTCCAGGCCACTCTCTAAGGTGCCTGACTTGGCACACCCTAGCCACAGGTATTGAACCACAACAAGGCCAAGGGTATGAGCCAGGGGCTCAGGATCAGTGGGAAGCAGACGCAGTGCCCTTGGCCTCACCTGAGCTGAGAGGAAGAGAGCTCTGCCAGGAAGCTGATCCAGTACGTGCCTGTCTGGGGCTGGAAGGAGGGTGTGCAGACTGTCAGAATGGCCAAGTGTTGCCTCATAGCAGATGGAGCTAAAGAAGGCCACACAATACCTGCCTCAAGGAGCACACCTGTGTCGCCCACTTCCATTCAGTGTCTTTTTATCTGGTGACCAGCAGGATTCAAAGGATACAGTTATTTAAACAATGCTCTGTCAAATTTAGAAATTACAGCCTCAGTACTGGTTCTCATCACTCACTGAGTTTTGTCAGTGTCTGATTCTATTTTCCTTCAACTCTGCCTTTTTCCTTCTTCCTCTTCCTTTTCTCCATCTTCTCTTCCTTTTTCTTCCCTCTCCCTTCCCCATTTGCTCTTTTCCTCCTCTGTCCTTTCTTCCCCCTCTTAACCAACACACACACACACACACACACACACACACACACACACACACGTCCTAGTCAGCAAGTCACCGTGGAATCTTTCCCGAGAGATGTCCCATGGGGACATGCTGCAGATGGGGAAGGGCTCCGTGTTCCCAGGTTCATTTCTTACTCTAGTCTGGTGAGGTTCTGACCCATTCAGAATCCTGCTCTCAGCACCTTCAGTTAACAGACCCCCAACATACATGGCCTGAAGTCCACCTCCAGCTTCCTAGAGCAGTGAGCTAGAGAAACCCAGTCAAGCTTGATGGCACATGCCTTTTGAGAGACAAAGGCAAACAGATCTCTGTGAGTTCGAGGCTAGCCTGGTCTACAGAAAGAGTGCCAGGACAGCCAGGGCCACACAGGGAGACTCTGCCTTGGAAAAACCAGAGAGAGGGAGAGAGGGAGTGAGGGAAAGGGAGAGAGAGGAAGGGAAAGAAGGAAGGAGAGAAAAAGGGAAGGGGTAGAAATATAGCACTATGGGAGGAGTGAGGCACACCAGCAGGGCCACCTCTGCCCTCTGAGCTTCTGTGGGAGGGTTGGCAGTCCTTCCTAGTGTCTCTCTGCAGAGGTGTTTGGTCCAAGTGGCCTTCCAACCTGTACTGCCACATGAGACAATCCTCGAGGAAGCCGTTCAGATCCAGAGCAAGGAGACAGAGAACAAACTGGTGAGTGACGTGTTTAGGGGAGGTACATAGTGACCAGAGGGGAGAGGCATGAGGAGAGCAAAACGGCACTCCAGCATAGGGTGCAGATGTGTGGGCCCCTGGCACCTGCAGCCTGTCCTACCTGTAACAGGAGTACACGGCAGACTTTTCCGGCACTCTGCTCCAAGCTGCTCCAAGAGGGGTAAAAGTTTGTCTTGCAAGACCTCTCCCTCTCCTGAAAGTGCCACCAGGCAGTGGGAGGCAAGGGTGGCTGGAGTTTTAACCAAAGCAGGACTGGAATAAAAACCCAGAATAGCCTCTCACAAGGGATAACACGGAAACCACCTTTGGAGGGCAGCCTTGAAATAGCAGGCAAGCCAGACCCAACAGTATGTACAGGCTTTATATGCTGCCCCAATCCAGGGAGTCGTGACACCACTGGCTACAGGCTTGTCCTTCTGCCATGTCACGGCCTCATAGCTTTCACACTACATGCATGAGCAAAGAGCCCTGACCTTCCACCTTGATGAGACAGTGAGGCACAAGAAAGGCATGGACTGGAGGGGACTGAGGACCCCCATTTGGCAGGCTTCTTCTCTGTGTCTTGGTCTCTCTAACTTCAGACCTTTCAGGCCATGAACTTATCTTTGGAGGGTCTCTGTGCTTGGGCTTCCCAGGTACCCCTGGGCTATCTCCACTGATGTGCCTCATGTTGTCAGACTCCCCTAGAGAGCCAGTTGGTTTGAGGAAACCATTGACTCCTGTCACTCGGCAAGCCTGCCAGGATAGGCCTCAGAAGAGCCTGGGGCAGGGCTGCAGTGTAGCACCTGCCATGCAGAGGACTGAGCCTCTGTGGTGGCTTCTCAGCATCTGTTTCTGCTTATAGCTCCGAAAGGAGACAATCCATAAGAAGGATATGTGGAAACAGTCTATGTCTGTGATGCGGCCTCACACCCGGGACCGTGTTACGCGGTCCTCCGCTCTCCACACCCCAGAGCTGAAGAGGCGGGAGTGTGGAGCCAGGTAGGATGAAGGGATCTTCCCTTGATCAGACGAAGCCCACCCTGCTCAGTAGACCTTTTCCCATACATTACCTGAAGCACAGCTTCACTGGCTTGACTGTCTGTAGGTCCAAGACTGACTGCTTCAGAAATAGTTGGACCCAGGGCTCTTCTTTCAAGGCATCTGCTCCTTAGTTATCACCATGGGCTTAGTATCCCTCTGAACAGACTACTCCATGGTCTGACTCCAGTCTCCCCAATGAACCAATGATCCCAAGAAAGCTCTGGTGGGTTGGGCCACTTGCCAGGCCAGGACTTGTCCCTGTGGACCCAGGAATATGGCTCTGTAGTGACAAATACCTTTACTCCCTCTCTCTGGATGACCAGGGTCTACAGTGGGGAGGAAGGTCCCTGCGGGAGGCAGAGGAAGGTGGAAAAGTCTATCAGACAGAACTGGTGTGACTACCACCTGGGACCCATGGTGGCTCTGAGCTCTGCCTCTTAGTGCTTTCACCTTCCCCAGAGAGTCCACCTGAGCCTAGAGCCCTAGAGAGCAGGCATGGCCATCAAAGATGAGGAAGGTCTGGTCCCACTCTGAGTATCCTAGGGGCAGAGCCCAAGTGGTCCTGAGGAATAAGCATGAATGTCCTTTGTTGGCTTCATTCCAGTTCCAGTGAATACAAAGCTGCACAAGCCACCTTGGCCAGAGCCTTCCAGGGGAAGTTTGACAGATTTGTGATCCCCTGTGTCGTTGCCAGTGGTGACATCAAAGACAGGAAGGCATTGGAACCTCTGAGCTTCAGGTGTGGTGTTCTTGAGACAGGATGGGGTGTGATTGGCCATAAAAATCACTGTCCCTCCTCTACTGCTTGTCAGATATGAGGCCTGGGGGACACAGGGTCACCCTAATCTGGCCTTATTTATCCTTGTCCTGCCTCTAGCCCCCATAATACTCTATATCTGGAGCTATGGTGCCCAGCAGTGGCTCCATCCATTGTGGTGATATCCAACAAAAACCAGACGACCTTTAACTTTGGTGATATTGCTGTGGGTAAGTCCTAATTCTATACTGACAACCCTCACTCCCGAGAGCCTATCTTCTACCCTGGGTACCGAGACCACTCCAGTCACCATCTGTTCCCTGACCTCGCTGTAGAAATAGGTGCCCCTTGGGGTTCTAGGATCTGTGGCCCAACTCTACCACATTTTAGGGCATCGAAGCATAAAGAAGATCACCCTCCAGAACATTTCTCCTGAGGACCTTACTGTATCCTTATCTATGCTCAGTGAATCTGCTTCCAGGTGTGGAGATGGGAGTGGGGTGCATGGCAGAGCCTGCAAAATAGTATCTTCATCCTTGATGCTCAGTCCTTAGTTGGAGTTCTCAGTGCTGAACCCCAATGGCCCCTTCGTCCTGATAAACCCCTCCAACAAGCTATGTTCCGGCGAGATACACACCCTGATGGTGTCCTTCTCGCCCCATGAGAGCATACTGGTGAGTGTAGCCCATGGACAATGCTGCTGCCCTGAGATTACCCACACCACAGGACCATCGTGTGGCCACAGTCAGACTCCACCGTGTTCTCAGGCCCAGATGATCAGCTGGAGCCTTAAAGCAGCCTGTCCTTCCTTCCCAGCTCTTGTCAGCCAAGTCCATGGAGGCAAAGACCTCCAGGCTACCTCAGGAGCACAGTGCTCTCAGCCAGCTTCTGCAGGTAGAGTTCCCATGTCTGTCCTGTGCTAAAGTACATGATCTCCTTAGGCTCAAGAAACACTGGACATCATCACCAAGAAAGGGACTCTCGCCCTCACCCTCATGGGCACAGGCGTGGCATCCATGATTACGTGCTCCATTGAAGGCAACATCCTCAACATGGGCTATGTGCTTGCCAGAGAATCTTTCTCGACAAATTTTAAGGTGAATTACGTCTTGTCCCATTCTCCTGAAAAAAGGATTTCATGGAGCCAGTGAACTCTGCATTTGGAAGTACCCAGCTGGTTGAGGAACCCCTTGAGGCACATTGTCTCTCCCAAATTCTCTGTTCCCAAGGGGCTGTCATTTCTGATGTCTTCCTACCAGGGACTCCAGAGCCTTTACTTGTGGGAAAGCTGAGAGCCCCCCACTTAACCCTAAGCCAAAGTGCTGGCCTGAAGATGTTTATGTCCATCTGCATTGCTTCTTACTTCTGCATTGCCACTTACTTCCTCCTTTGGAACTCTCCTAGGTGCTCTTTCCTCCCCCCGCCCCACTCAGTTGATAGACAGATGTCTAAAGAGATTCATACAGTCATCTTGGCTCCCTCATCTCCAAATAAGCATGGTCCTGTCTCACCTTGAGGGCTACCCTAGGTTTGGACTCAAGCAGCCTACTTGCCCACCTGCTCCGGCGGGGTCCTGAAGTGGAGTACCACCAGACAGGGTGCTATCCAGAGAGAGCACTGAGGAAAAGGCCAGTGTGAGATGAGTGACTGAATAACAACAGTCCCAAACACTGCTACTGTGGTTACTTACTGTTGGTGATACCATGAGAAAGGGCTCAGAGCATACTGTGACCTGGTTCCTATGAAGTGTGATCCAGCAGCAGGCAACCTAGTCAGGGACACTGACCATAGGCATAGGGCAGCTTAGGGTACGCTACTTGAGTGACATCTTGCTCTTGCAGCTACTGAATGAGTCCTCACTTCCCATTAAGTTCTGGATGCGGCTGGAGAGCCTTTCCAAAAAAAGGGCTGAGACCCGGCAACAGCTACCAAAGTTCCTTACCTCCCATGATCAGAGAACTGAAATTGTTGGTGAGTTAACACACTGCCAGGAACCACAGGGGTACAGAACCATGAAGAGCTATGTGCTGGGAATTGAGGGTGCTACGTAGGGTGGAGGAAGGGCAAGGCAGATCATGGAGAGACTGGGCAAAAAGGAATGAGCCCAGTGGAGCAGGACTGGTAGTGTTGATCATAACCCCTGTCTTTATCCACAGGCACACAGAACCACAATGGCCAGAGCGTATTCAGTGTTGTTCCAGTCGAGGGACTCATGTTACCCGGGAAGGCTCAAGAATTCACCGTAACATTCAGTCCAGATCATGAGAGCCTCTACTTCTCTGACCTGCTCCAAGTGGTGCTCTTTGAGAAGGTGGAGATTGTAGCTGGGCCCCCACAGGTCCCACCCCACTCTGGGAGGGATCCCTGGGTGTCCCTCATCTGCCCCTCCCTGGAGACTTTTATTATCTGGCACCCCATGCTGGAGGATGTCAGACAGATGTCAGCATCCCTGGCTGTCTCGGCCCCACCCCTGAACCAGCCTCGGTTCCCAGTTGTCGAGCTGCTGGGCAGGCTGCCATGCTTTCTTGTCCTCAGAAAGTCTCCCACAAGATCCTCCTGAAGGGTGCTGCCCGTGAGCACATGATGTTTGTGGAGGGGGGAGACCCACTGGACGTGCCTGTGGAGAGCCTGGCAGTGATCCCTGCCTTGGACCCAGAGCATAGAGAAGGTGAGCCCCCACCAGGTGGTTTCTGGCTCAGGGAAAGAGGAGAACAGGGGTAACCTTGGGGAATAGTGAGAGGACACTCTGGCACCCCAAGCCAGCGAGAGGTCATACTAAGGCCCATTGGGGAAGGGCAGATTTCCAGTCCATCAGCCCCAGAGCCAAGCAGGATGATCTCTACTGAGTTGATTGTTCTGGGAGGTTCCAGCTTCACCCTCCATCTCTGTGGTGCTGCCTGACCGTGGCCAGCTCCCCTCACTCCCAGGCCACTTCCTCCATCTAGCCACCACTTTTCAGCTAGATCTCTGCACCCCTCCCATCTCCAGAAGCTGAGGAAATTAAGCCCATTCTGGTGACCTTGAACTACGTCCAGTTTGACACAGACATGCCAACCTCACCTGCCACCCGAGAGCTGCAAGTGGGCTGTATCCGGACTACCCAGCCATCACCAAGGAAGGTGACTACAACCCTAGCTTGAGTTAAACCCCAGAAGCCTCATTGGCCCCCCCTGACCTCTCCCGCCCTTATGTAGGGTTTTTGCAGCAGATGTGGGGTGACAACCCTGGTCAGAGCTGAAGGGTATAGGTAAAGCTGGGCACCCCCATCCCTCTAGTCCTACTGCCTCCTGAGAGTACCCGACCCTCTAACCTCCAGCCGTGTCAATGCTTCACAGACTGTGGAGTTCACCCTGGAGGGTGCCACATGGCTTCAGCACAAGGGTTTCTCCATCGAGCCTTGCAGGGGCTCCGTGGAGCGCGGTCAGACCAAGACCATCAGCATCTCCTGGGTACCGCCAGCTGACTTTGATGTAGGTGCTGGGACCCCAGGCTGGACAGGGAGGGGTGGTAAAGTAGGCGGGGCATGGGGGGATGAGCAGATTTTATTTTATTTTTTTTGGTTTGGAAAGCCTACTAAGGAGCTTCTTCTTCCAGCCAGACCATCCACTCATGGTGTCAACCCTGCTGCTGCTCCGGGGGGATGTAAAGGAAACATACAAAGTCATCTTTGTGGCCCACGTGGTGGCTGGGCTTTGAGGTCACAGGAAACTACAGAGCCTCTTGGACTCTCCTATCCACTCTTGAATCCCTTCCCAGGCAGTGGGTCAAGCCAACACATTCCCCTAGGCCTGGGATCTGGGCATCCCCTGCTGGGCAGGTTCAAATGAACAGTCCCAGAGCCAGAGCTCCCCAGTCCTGCAGACATGGCTACTTCCTGCAACCCAAGACCCCGCCCCCTCGAACCAAGAAATAGTAATCCATCCAACTCACCACACACAATCTGCTCCTAGATGCACCACCCCCACCCCTGGATCCCAAACCTACCAGCACATCCTCAGGCTTCAGAGATCCTGGGAGATATCCCAGGCCTGTCAATAAACTCTAAGAACCAACACGCAAGTGTGCAGTGATGGGATGGGGGTGGGGGTGGGGGTTGGCTAAACACAAAGTAGGCAGGAGGAGAGCCTGGGGAATGCCCGACCCACACTCCACCTCACAGACCCCAACACATAAAGCAATGTTCTGCCTAGAAAGAACCTCCCAGAGGGTGAAATCTTGCCAGATAACTAGAAGGAGTTCACCCTGACTCAAATACTGGAAGATCCCTCTGAAACTGTAGAATCAAGGGTGGCGGCATGCAGTACAGGTTGCTAAGGGTGCAGAGCCAGGGTTCAGTCTAGTCCAGACCTGGAAAGGTGCAGAGAGGAGTAGGTCAAGAGGTTCCAAAGTCCAGAGAAGGTCCCTTAAGCCTCCCATCTCCTCCCAAGTCCCAGGAACCTAGATGATCCCAGCAGAGGGGTGGGCCAGGTGCAAAGGGGCGGGGGCAGCTTGTGGGTTTGAGTTTGCACTTGTCTGAAAAGAATGGATCTTGCTTTCTGGGCCCTAACCCACTTAGCTCTACTCCTACTCCAACACTGCACCAGCGCTTGCCCTCTGAAGTACGGCTTGGTGGCTGCTTTCCATCCAGCCTGCCCTCCTATCAGTGCAGCATACCTACTTTGCCACCCAGTGGGGATAAGCTACCAGAGAGCCTTCCTAGGGCTGACAGGGAGATGAGGGCGATGACATCTATCTGGGTGCTCTCGCTACTATCCTCAGTGCCCTTGATACCTTGAAGCCTGACGTTACCCCTAGTGAACCAGCGACATTGTCCTTACAGCAGCATCTTGTAGGATTTCTGCTCAGTGACCCTGGAGGTATCAGCCCCGGGGCCCTCTGCTGCCCTGACTGGAGCTAACCACTCATGACCTCAAACCCTTGACATGTTTCCAGGTCAGAAGGGTAGCAAAAGCAGGTTCACTGGATCAGTCTGGGATTCATGAGGACATGTTCTAGGGAAAACACTACCTCAGGCAGGCCAGTTACTTCTGAACCAGACATGGTTATTCTGCCCAGATCCTCTCTTTTCTGAACCCCAGGCTCTGATCTGGGCTTCAGGCTGCACTTTTGACATCCACTTTCTTCCTATTCTGGTGCTGGCCCTCCAGCACCAAGCACAGCCAAAGCAGAGCAAAGGATGGAAGCAAGACAGCAGACAAGTTTATCAGCCTGGCAGATGGGGTCCCTGAGAGGCTAGGCACAGGTCCTAAGTGCACAGGACAGCTGTAGACAGAGCCTGCCCGTCCTTAATCAGCCTGGCTGTGCTGACAAAGGCCCTGCAATATGATCACTCGCGTTCTACTAGTTCCCTAGCAGTGGATGGCAGAGCAGTCAGGCAGAGCACCTAGCCTGGAGGGAGACAGATTAATAAGATCCTCCAGGGAAAGTAGCCACTTTGGCAGTAGAAGAAGCGGGAGGAGAGCTGGAAAGTGGTCTGTTTGCAGCACCTCAACAGCCCAACTGGCTCCAGGCCAAACGGACCAGCCATTCCCCAAATGTATCCACACAGAGGGATGCATAGCAAACGTCCTTGAATGGTGGTTTGGAAGGCTAAAGCCCCAGTTTATTAATAGTGTAAACCCCACCCCTTTTACCTAGAGGGTGGGGGAGTATGAGGGTGAATTCTACTTGTCCTGAGAGGCCACAACCCAGTGCAGCCCACAAGTTTCAGGAGACCTGGTTTGTGAATGGGGATGGGGTTGGGGATGGGGATGGGGATGGGATGGCTGGGGGAGGTGTCATTCTGATATAAAACAGACCTATGCCCCATGCCCAGAGCAACACTTGCTCTATCCGCCTCCTAGGGCTCACTCGAGGATCTTGGTCCTTGGAGGTCTCCCTAACCGGGTGTTTGTGTGCGTGTATTCAAGTGCATGTGAGTGTGTGTTGTGTGCATGTACGTGTGTGTGTGTATGCACGCTCTCTCAAACCGTGTTTGTGTGCGTGCATGCATGCGTGTGCGTGTGTGTTGTTTGCATGTATGCATGTGTGTATGCGCGCGCGTGCTCTTTCAAACTAGGATGGTAACCTCTAGGGACAGAAAAATGAAGGGCAGGGAGCAAGGAGGGAAGCGTACCAAGGTGGGCGTGATCCTGGACCTTCAGCTGACCAAGCCCAGGGGCGGGGCCTCATAAAGCTGAGCGGACGCTGGACCGAGCTCCGCTGTGTCTGCAGAACATGGCCCCTGGGCCGCCAGTCACACAGGGGCTCTTGCTGCTGCTGCCTCTCCTGCCGCTGTCGCAGGTGGGTTGGGCTGCGCGTGCGGCGGGTTTTTGGCAAGCGGGGCGGCCCTGAGCTCGGCCCTGCTCCGCCCCGCTCAGGCTCACCCTTATCCCCACAGGTGACGCTGGGTTCTGCGGACGGCAACTGTGACCCCTCGGACCAGTAAGTAGCTGGGGACCGCGAGGGTGGGGGTAGGAGGGCGGGAGAGGGCTTGGAGAGGCAGAGCCCGGCCAGTGCGCTGGGAAAGGCTGGAGCGGTGGAGTGAGCTAGCCCCCACCTGCTCCAGGTGCCGCTGTCCCCGCAGGTGCCCGCCCCAGGCCCGCTGGAGCAGCCTATGGCATGTGGGGTAAGTGGAAGCCCAGGTGTCAAGCCTCTGGTCCGACGGTTCCCCTGAAGGTAGGCCTATGCTTAGGCGGGCCAAAACCCTCCCATCTACTGCCCCCAACTCCCTGGACACCGAAGAGCTCTTAAGCCCCAGGCAGCCTTGGAAGCAAGACCTGAATATTATAGTCGGCAGAAGGCACAAGGATTGTGCAGTTGGCTGGGGACAATGTGTCCTGGGAATAAACCCAAGGACATCTCTGGCCAGCCCTAGATAGCCAGCCAGGGCAGGCTGCTCCTCAGGCCTGGATCTAGCCAAAGAAGTTTCTGGCATGGAGAGACCTCTCTTGCTTTCTTTTCACCTACCTGGTTATCCTGTCTTGGGTGGTTGGGTATGACTGGCCCCAGGGTACAGGTGTGCAGTAGATCCTTAATCTTCTCTGCCAGGCTCACCCTGCTGGCCCTATTCCTGATGCTTCTGTGTGGGGTCACAGCCAGCTGTGTACGGTTCTGCTGCCTTAGGAAGCAGCCGCACACCCAGACACACATGCCACCAGCCTGGCAGCCCTGTGACCTGACAGCCATCCCCATGGACAGTGACAGCCCCGCACACAGCACTGTGACCTGTGAGTGTCTGGAAAACCCACTAGCCAACATGGGGGCGGCAGGCAGCGGCGTGAATGCCAAGCCATCGCCACAAACCCACTCTTGTTCCCTGCAGCCTACAGTTCTGTGCAGTACCCACTGGGTATGCGGTTGCCTCTGTCCTTTGGGGAGCCAGACCCTGAATCCATGGTCCCTCCCACCTACAGCCTGTATGCCTCTGAGCTGCCACCCTCTTATGATGAGGCTGTGAAGATGACAAAAGCCAGAGAAGAAGCAGTGACTCCCTCTCAGAAACCCAACTCTCTGCCTGAGGTCTTGGGACTAGAAACTACTACTACTCCAGGGCCCCAAGAGCCCAGTGCCCAGCAGCCCTAGTTGTGCCCCCTTTGAAAAGGGTAGGAGTTCTTTCTTCTGAAGCCATTAAACCACAGCCTGGGATTCTGGCACTTAGAACCAAGGACCCCCCACCTGTGCCATCCTTCCCCTGGGAAGGCCAGCCATCCAGCACATTGCTGCAAACTCGGCCTCATTGCTATGCAATGCCCGGCCAGCCAGCCTGCCCTGTATTGGCCCCTCCTCCTTACCCCTCTTACCCATCTTGGGCCCAGCAGACCCTCAGCCCAGAGGGGTCTGAACCTTGAGACCTAAAGCTCCCCTGGCATGTCAGTCCTTCAAAAAGAAAATAAAGTTTATGTGAACGTGGTCTCTGCCTTTATGGAAAGAGCTCTAGTGCTCCCCAGGGTGTCCAGGAAGACTTAGGTAGCTGCCCCAGTGTAGGTAGACAGGGTTAACAGGGGTCCAGCCCAGATCTGGACAGTGGGAAAGGCCAAGGTCAGAGACAAATGGTCTGAATTGTGTGTCCAGGACTGTCTCACATATCCTTAGCACCGCCCCCCTCCCCTCCAGGTTGGGGACAGTAAAAAGCAGTAGAGTCTGGCTGGAACATTTATTTGATGCAGAGCTATGGGCAGGGAGGGTGACAGTGGGCAGCAGATTCCCTGGGCTGACATCCCAGTCACAGCAGTTATATTACTAGACCAACTTGAAGGAGTTTCCTGTCATCTGGCTACAAACTCTGAGGGGTAGACGGACAGGTTAGCAGCCTTCCCTGGCCCTGAGACTTGGTTCCCAGGCTCATCCATTGCTCACCTTCATAGTCAGAGTAGTTCCATCCCCATCCTTGTCGATCTCCTTGGCTCAGCCTCCACTTTACTGAGGGTCTCACACACATTCATGGGTACATATCTGCCAAGGTCTCACACTCAACCACCATGGTATCTTTACGAATTCCCCATTTACTAAAGCACCACCAACCCCTAGGCCCAAGACCCCCCTTAAGTATGGTCCAGTCTATGAAGTCCTGCTGTCCTTGTCAAAGCTGCCATTAGTTTGCCCTCCTGGTGGTGGGCTTTCTCATAGTAAATCACCATCAGCACCAGGAAGCCATTGCAGTTAAAGGACCCTTTGTCTGCAAATAATTTTACTGGTCCAGGAATCAAGTCAGAGCTAGGCTAGGCCCACTGCTACCCCCCCCCCTCTAGCTGCTTCTCTCCTGGGTCACATGCACTGATGACCATGGCCCAAGACTGCAGCCATACCCACACACCCTGCCAGCCATGACTTTCTGTCTCCGTCCACATCCTTGCCCAAGCAGGGCCAGCTTACTCTTGGTGGAATTGATTCCCAGCAAGATCAAACTAAAGTGGCCAGAATTGGTAGAGAGTTACCCACTGGGCAACCCTGCTGTCCCCAGTATGTCTGGCATACTGTCCTCAACACAGAATCTCCTTCTGTGGGTTAATAGTATCCATTGTGTACAGGAACCATATTTTGGCTCTTCATACATCAGCAGACCTTCAGATTGTTTCAACTTCTTCACTTTTGTGAATAATTCTGTAAGGAACATGGGGATATGCAAAGGTACTTTTTAGGTAAGTCTAACAGTCACATGGGTAGAATCTGAAGGAAGCAGATAACTGCGAACATGTAGGTGGGACTGGTCTATTCTGCTGAAGTCCCTGAGAGAAAAGACCAGGGTTCCTGAAGAAAAGAAAAAGGGAATTCTACTTGCTGATGAAGGCCAAGAATGCAATACCAGATCTTCCCTGGCTCTCCAGCTTTCATAATCAAAGAACCCACTTCTTTAAATCCAATCGCTGTGTGTGAAAGAGCCGAATGCATGTATACGTGCTTATACAAATCTTGTCTTTCTAATCTGGAAGGGTTACACAGGCAGCGGCCGAGCTGGCAAGAGCCAGAAAGGTTCAGGATCCGTGTGTTCCAAGAACCTTGAGACATTCCCCACTGTATAGACCAAGCATATGGCAATGAGTACCAGAGGGTTGGGAGAGACTCTAATGTGTACATCATGAAGAGCCCAGTAATAGGTTTTCTGTGCCCCAGTAATAGGGTTTCTCTGCTGACACAGTAAAGCCGAATCAAGCCGAACTGAAAAAGTATAAGAACAGGTTTATTTGAACAAAGCAACCTCCCAGGCGGATTCTCCAGTCCCAGAGATGGAGGCCTGAGAAGCCACACACCTGAACTAGAGTAGAGAGCTTATATAGATTCTCGTAGACAATGGGTAATGATGTGTCTTCCACAAGATGGGTTTATGCCCAATCATGATGAAAAGGTGAACAATTTAGGCAGGGACTTAGGTGACTAGTAACTTCAGGGAAGGAAGTTGCGGGAGCCACCAAGATCGCAGAACTGGGCTTTTTGGTGCCTTTCCTTTTTTCAGAGATTCTCTGAGCATTCAGGGTTTGGAAAGAGAAAGAGACAGGAATGGAGGTTTCCAGATCATGCAGTGTAGTGATATATTGTTAATGATTTGATAAAGCTTGGCTGAGGATTCAGAAAGCAAAGTCAGCCACAAGCTATAGAGTGAAGAGTGATCAGCCAGCAGCCAATAAGGTCCAGCGCAGCACGGACCTGTGCGGGCGGTGGATACGGTTGGGCGCCACGTGAAGAGTGATCAGCCCGCAGCCAATAGTGCTAAGGTTTTCTTTATTGAGATACACCAATCAAGCGAGAGGGAGGGAGCTGGAACCAGCGCCGGTAGCTGGGGGAAGCAGTAGAGAGAAGGACTGGGGTCTCCACATGCAGCCCTTAAGAACCTTCCCTTACGTCACCCCCCACTTCTCTTCACCCCGCCCTCATGGGTGTGTCCCGGTACACCTGGCACCAGTCCGGTTGCCTGGGGCGGGGCTAGGGTGTCTCCCTACAATAGAGGTCAGGTGGTGTTGGCACACACCTTTAATCCCAAGACTCAGGAGACAAAGGCATATGGATCAGTCTAAAAGAGTAACCGAGCTCATGCCTTTAATCCCAGGATTCATGAGAGGTATTCAAAGCAGGAACAGATTCAGTGTCTGGCATTCCTTCTCCAGCATGTTGAGGAGAGGCAGCAGTTTGAGACTTGGTGAAGAGCTAGTGCATGGATCAGCCCTTTCAGCCTGAGCTTGAGGTGAGACTTGGTGCCCAGCTGCTTTGTTTTCCTGATCTTCACCTTTCACCACAGTATCTGTCTCTGGGTCATTTATTTATTCATGTTACAATGCAGGGACAAGCTGGCTTTCAACCAAACACCCAGTACTCCCTAGTCCTAGGGCTTTAAAAGACAGAGACAGGTACCTTGGTCAACGAGATGATGGAACAGACTTAGTAGACTTCCTGGGGGAGGTCTTACCCTCTCTGTGGAGCAGATGGGAGCATGGGGGAGGAGGGAGAGGAAAGAGAGGAGGGAGGGGAAACTGGGTTTGGAATGTAAAAATAAATTAATTTTTTAAAGTAATAATAAAGAAGAATAAAGTAATAATAAAAAAAGACAGAGACCACTGTCCTAGTTTTATTTCTACTGTTAAGGTAAAACACCCTGACAGAAAGCAATTTAAGGAAGAAAAGGGTTTATGTAGCTAACAATTCCATATTACAGTCCATTACAGTGGAGAAGTCAGCATGAGATAGATAGTCATATCATACCAACAGTCCAGAGCAGAAAGATTGCTGGGTAGTGGTGGCGCATGCCTTTAATCCCAGCACTTGGGAGGCAGAGGCAGGCAGATCTCTGTGAGTTTGAGGCCAGCCTGATGTATGAAACAAGTTCCAGGACAGCCAAAAGCTATTACACAGAGAAACCCTGTCTTGAAATAAAAAAAAATAAAATAAAATAAAATAAAACAGGAGGAGAAAGATAAATACATACATGCTCACTTGCTTCTTATACTCAACGCAGTTCTCCACTCCTGTACTTAGGCTCCGTAACCCTGAATGGCGTTATTCACAGTGTGCTGGATCTTCCCACATCAGTTAGTTATGCAGATATCTACAGATATGCTTATAAGCCAACAAAATGCAGTGTGAGACTTCTCAGGTGATTCTAGGTGTGTCACACACTGATAACTGGAACTATCCCAACCACCCATTCAGCTCTGTGCTTCCCTTCCTTTTGTGATCTCTAGCTTCCCTATCTTCCATAAATTCCCCCAGACAAACTGAGTCCTTACCTTAAATCTTCCTGGAAGAGCTCAGCATGTAGAAAGGGGTGTCTTTTATTTTTTTAAAGGAAAGTTAGACACTGAACCCCCAAAACATACAAAGTGAGTTCAAGAGTCCATACTGTTTAGTAGATTGTTGTGTGATGTTTTGCTCTTAGGGCTTTTTGAGGGGCCCATCACCCAGCTCCTAAATAAATCACACATGGAGACTTATTCTTAATTATGAATACCCAGCCTTAGCTTCACTTGCTTCTTGCCAGCTTTTCTTTTTTTAATTAACACATCTACCCTTTGGGTCTGGGTTTTTTACCTTTCTCTCTCTCTCTCTCCTTTTTTTTAGATTTATTTATTATGTATAGGTGTTCTGTTTGCATGTGTCCCTGCAGACCAGAAGAGGGCACCAGATCTCATTTTGGATGGTTGTGAGCCATCATGTGGTTGCTGGGAAATGAACTCAGACCCTTTGGAAGAGCAGCCAGTGCTCTTAACCTCTGAGCCATCTCTCCAGCCCCGCCTTCCTCTTATGTATCTGTGGCTGGCCCCTCCCCTTGTTCCCTCCTTGCTCCTCCTTTTCTTCATCTCTCCTCCTGTTTATTCTCTCTGCCTGCCAGCCCCGCCTGCCCTTGCTCCTGCCTCACTATTGGCCATTCAGCTCTTTATTAGGACCATTGGATGTTTTAGACAGGCAAAGAATCACAGCTTCACGGCATTAAACAAATGCAGCATCAAGAAAAGTCACACGCTTTAATATTTCCCAACAGTAGATGGCTAGAGATCATGAAATGTGTGTCAGGCCCCAGAGAAACTCAGGACAAGGCTCGCTTAATACCTGTGCTTCTCCCAGCACTTTCCACTCTGCCTCCTGCCCTAAACCTC